AAAATCACTTCATTGAACATCCCTGTGACAACACAATAAAACATTTCAACTATTAAACCATCAAAAACTGGGGTCTTACTAATATTTTTCCATATTAATACTCTATTCTAGTCTTGGAATTTTCAATCAAAATTAATGCAATGAAAAAACAAAAAATATGTATGTCTGAATTGCAGCACTTGCCTTCGGCTCTTGGCTTCGGCTCGTCACAGGGATGTGCAATGAAGTGATTTTTATGTTTTTTCTCAAAAAAAAAAGCAAGATACGAAAAAAATTCTTGAAATAAAAAAGTTGTAATTTTAGTTGCTCAATGTGAAACAAATACAAGAATTGCAAAAAAATCAGTGGCGCACATCTTTTCTGTCAAAAATATTGATTACAGTGCCTTCCGGGACGCCACTGGACAAGATAATTTTCATATAGTTAGGGTTAAATTAGCCCTTTACGACCTTGGATAACACTGCCAAATTTCAATGAAATCGGTTGAAGGGTTATTAAGATATTCACGAAAAAAACGATTTCTTTTGAACATTTTGACACCCTGTATCTTGAAAACGAAGCATTACCGGACCTATGTTTATATGAACTTTTCGTCTTAGAATCACTCAAAAAATCATCCCTTAGAGTTTGGCCACGTACTTAAATAACACCCTGTATATCTAGGAAGATGGGGAATCATAAAAGTTTCAATACATTCGGGAACAACCATGAGAATCAGATTCTTATGATAGAAGCTGATGGTGTCTTATAGATAATTGAAAAAGTCGTTTCAGATGAAGTAATGAGGTATACACTGGACCCTTCATTCCATTTCAAAAAACTTCAATATCAATATCTTCTTCTGGACCCAAAATGTAGCACTCAACTACCATTGGGACAGAAAAGAATAAAAAATCCCAGCCGTTCAAGAGTTAACTAGGAGGGGATTACTTCGTGGACACACACACACCCTAATAATGCACATCAATAATACATTGACTAACATTTCGTCAATATTCTATTCGATTCCTCTTCATTACAATAATTAAAATAATAAAATATATGAATGTATAAAAATGTGATATATAATGGCAAAGCGAACAGAGAGTGATGACGAGAATGTACGTGAAACTTCTCGTTGTATTTCGGAAATAGGGTTCAGAGAACAACATCAGACGATATATTTGATCTTTTGATATTTGTATTCTATGTACTCTGTATTCATAATATATCTTTTTTCGGTCAACGTTCATTCTGATCAATGGTCATTGATGAACTCAATAAATAGCCAAGTCTCGTAGGCGATTACATTCGCATTCTCTGAAGACCACCCTGTGAAAAGGCTATTACATCTTCTGGGTGCCCTTGAAACTAGAGTCACTGGATGGTATTAGTTTGATAAGAGTTCGAACAGAAATGACAACGGTCAGGGTTTTTCAAAGTTTAGATTAAATAAGTCACACACCTTGCATTGTGACAAGACCACCATAGTCGTCCCGCGCTTTTTCATTCAAAATTGTTTGAATTTGACAAAAAAAATTATAAACGTCAGAATTGAAATGAAATTTCATAATTATACTTCCGAAGAGAAAGCAGTTATGGAAATCACTTGCTGTGTGATGAATTATGCCAATTCTGAAAAAAAATGGATATCATTTATTCAATTTTCCAAAACAAATATCAACCATTCGCTTATGGAAGGAAGATATGAAACGGCCTGGGTGGAAAATCAATTCGAAGACCAGCGAAATTCGTGAGGTACTCTTTAAAATTCACTTCTTGTAACAGCATCTGATCAAAATGAAACTATATTTTAGGCCCATTTTCAAACAGAAGATTTCAAAATCTGTTCTGAGAGAATCTGCTGTTCCATCAATTTACGAAGCAGACGATTCATCATCACACAAAATACAAAATAAAATAATCATGGAGAAAGAGGAAATGATCGCAAAATTACATGATGAAAAGCAAGTAAACTACAACGTGAAATATTATTGAATATGGCGTTTTTGGTGCCGACCAAATTCAAAATTCCACAGTGAAAAGTGAATAGGTATTGTGACGTTGCTGAGACAAAACCAAGTGTTTGGTAGGTCTCGTCAAAATAAACTAATAAACGACTTTTTTCCTATGGAATGTTTATCGAATCATGATTTGTCCTCTGTATTTCAACACCCTGTATCTGAATAAATGAAGCATTTCCGGACACAAGCTTATATAGACTTTATTTCTTAAAATTGTCTCAGGAATACTCCACTTGAACGTACTTATGTTACTTTCTGTATATTATTCCTGAAAATACCTTCCTTTGATTTAATATTAATAACCCAGAACTTCTTGTTTTATACTTATCACTGGAGTACAATTCCACATACAATGAGGAATTATAGCCATAAGTTCATCCATATGTGTATATTTTCTAATATCAAAATGTTGTTACATGCATTCTTTCCATTTATATAACAGTCGTTCTGATAGAAGTATGAATGTGCTATGAATTGAAGTGGGTGTTTGTACCCTATATCCATTTTCCATCTACGGCTATGATTGATTTGACACAAAATATAACCTCTAAAATCGTATCTGACAATCAGGCGCTACTAGGGAAATTGAAAAGACAAAGAGCAAAATATATGTCTTATTCTTTTATTCACTTAAACCATTGTATTATAGAAAATAGAAAAGGACAAAAGTTCAGCTGTGTCCGAACTCTTATCAAACTAATACCATCCAGTGACTCTACTTGAAACATACTTACCTTCAACCAATCTTAATAACTCCCTACCGCATATCTAATCTTCATTTTGGGATGAGTCATATCACGAGATTTTCATATATCTCGAAAATAGACGAAATTCATGTTGTTTCACCCTCTAGCGCCGAATCTGGTCATACGATCGAGTTGGGCCAATGGAGTCTTATACTCAGAATGAATTCAGCTACAACATATCAAAAATTCAGCAATTTTCACCAAAAGACATTTTCCCATAATGTGTGCGTGGTCCTTTGTACACATTTTGTAAAAGGACCCCGCACATTTAGTACGTAAAATGGCTTTCGGCTAAATTTTCTGAAAATTTGATATGTTTAAGACATTATCGTCCTTATCACACAGTCAAATTTACAGATCGATCCTATGACCAGTTTTCGAGCTACAGGGTGTCAAACATTAGATTTTGGCTGTTTAGAATATTTTGCATCAATTTGAATTATGTGCTCTAAGTCGTGATTATTCTTCAGTAGGAATGAACTCTTCACGTCTAATATCTACCTCATGAATCCCTCTATTCGGTTAGAGGATAATATCACATACAGAGTATTGCATACCATCATGACAAGGTAATATTCTTGGGAAAAGACAAATATTGAAAACATCAGAATTTTGATTTTTACTCAATCACTGAATGACAATTTGAAAGCTTATAGAATTGATGTAACTCAGGTGCAAAATGAGATACATTTCTATAATATATGAAGTGGAAAATGAAATGTCTCATGAAATAACCCACCCCCACTAAGACCCTGATGAGTCACAACCACCCCAACGCATATCATCTCAATAGTAGCCCCTACTTATTGTGATACCTCATTGAATAGCTTGGTGAAAATACATTTCAGTGGTATTATTCATATCTCGAACTGGGTGAACTAATAAAAAATATTCATCACCTATATCATTCTGCTGGGGTGACGTATTAATTCCGTAATTTTTTGTAGTATGGAAAAAAATCTCTATTATCGAGCATTATATAAATAACCATACAAGTGGAATTGCTTATGTGAACAGTTGGCTAGTGAAGCGAGAGAAAACTAAAATCTACAGAATGTTCTAGTAACCTAACCTAACCTAACCTAACCTGAGCTGGTCAGACGGTAAGGACACAGCTCCATTCAATCCAGCAGAACATCTCCAAGATAGAAGTTGTAAAACTGTGACATGTCCGCTATGTTTGAATTCTCAAGAGAATTTGTATTTTGATGATTGTAAAAAGCTGCTGATAGATATTTTTCACATTGTGGCTCACATATTCTGGCGAGATGGTCGTATTGAGACAAGTTGTCAGATACCATAATATGACATCAAGCATTGCTATAGATGAACTGATAGGCAAAAGCCGTGAATGATAGTACATAATGGGTCGCACTGTTGATGGCGATTTCCGAAAATATTGTTGCTTGGGTCTTCGCTGGAATTCAGCAGAGATCGTTCACTATCTATATCTGCTTGAAGACTATATATATTTCATCCATGCGGTTATTTTTGCATATTGTTATGTGCATTACAAACTGTTTTGGAGTCTGAATGGAGCTGAGTAATATTTCTGCATTGGTAATCAGTATTCCTATTGTTTTGGAAAAAACTATTGAGATGATATGCGTTGGGATGGTTGTGACTCATCAGGGGCTTGGTGGGGGTGGGTTATTTCATGAGACATTTCATTTTCCACCTCATATATAATAAAAATGTATCTCATTTTGTACCTGAGTTACATCAATTCTATAAGCTTTCAAATTGTCATCACCCTATATATGGCCAACCGGACATGGTATCAGAGCTAATCATATGAATCCTCATGTTTATGATCAAGACCCATACTGTGTCACATAATTGGCCGATTCTAGCCGATTGTTTTCAAGTTTTCAGTGATTGAGTAAAAATCAAAATTCTGATGTTTTCAATATTTGTCTTTTCCCAAGAATATTACCTTGTCATGATGGAATGCAATACTCTGTATGTGATATTATCCTCTAACCGAATAGAGGGATTCATGAGGTACATATTAGACGTGAAGAGTTCATTCCTACTGAAGAATAATCACGACTTAGAGCACATAATTCGAATTGATGCAAAATATTCTAAACAGCCAAAATCTAATGTTTGACACCCTGTAGCTCGAAAACTGGTCATAGGATCGATCTGTAAATTGGACTGTGTGATAAGGACGATAATGTCTTGAACATTTTAAATTTTCAGAAAATTTAGCCGAAAGCCATTTTACGTACTAAATGTGCGGGGTCCTTTGTATATTGCTACTTCAGAGTTGGGAATCAACTCCTCAGAAGTCGAAACTTGGGCGGGATCAGGAAGAGCGGGACCTTCAGCATAAAGTGGAAACCGAACCACATCTAGGGCATCGAGGTGCTGCCAGGATCACAACCATGAATCACACATTTCAAAGAAAAATGCTCAGCCGATAGCCGGATTCGAACCGACAGTATTACCAGCGCATATAGACAAACTCGGCCACGGTGCCCCATATAAATAAAATGAATGAATGCAAATAAATAAATAGAACAAGGAAATGAAAATAATAAAAGTAATGGAACCAGCCAATTTAATTCAACTTCCGCTTGATATTTTTTTTGTTAACGAATAATTTCCCTAGCCATCGTTCAATGAAAGTTCTAGTCTTATTAGCAATCCAATAAAAAAACAACCAAAATGAGAAAATTATAACAACCAAGAATCCCATCACATCTAGAAGGTAATACTGATAAAATGGCAAGTCTATAATAGGATTTCTGAAATGATGGGCCCCCTTATGACGTAGAACGTATTCGGTCCACCAAACTGCTTTCTGCAACCCAGTCATTGGCTGATCCTGAGACAATTCTGCAATTTCTGTTATTTTCTTCTTATACCTAAAATCATTAAATTCAATAAATTATTTGGAAACAAAAGTCAACAATGTCTATCGAGTACCTTGGATTATTGAGAACTTCTAATATGGCAGCCTTGAAAGTCTTTGTAGTCAGTGTGTTTTTATCCAGATACAATCCGCATCCTTCGCCCACAATTTTTTTCACATTGGCATCTTGATCGATCACAAAAGGTATACCGATCAGCGGAACATTGCTGAATATTGCTTCTTCTATCGACTGGAGACCTCCTTGAGTTATGAAAAGTTTCACTTTTGGATGCCCTGTAAAACAGTTCTCGATGATTATCTTCTATAAATAAACTACTATTTTCTCATAATCATCCAACTGAGAACTGAACAAATTTTGATGAAAACTCTTATTCATCATACATTATATATAATATGGGGTAGGTACCATATCTCAGGGGTCCCCTGCAATTTCTGATATTTATACAGGGTGTCCGGAAAGGTCATGTTGAGGATGATAGAGCTGGTAGAGGGAGCCAAAATATTGTTAATACTTTATATAAAAAATACGTCTATCGTGCTTGGTTGCGAAGTAATTGACCTTGATTGTTGAAATAAAAAAAATATTTTCTCCTACTCACATAACTAAAATGGCATTTAGCGTACGGATATGTATCACGCTGAATGATCAATTAATCACGGATTTACGATCTGTGATTTATTCAAAATATTAAACACGTTACCATGGCAACACGATTTCTTGAACACATTACCATGGCAACGCAGTTCATTGAACACAGCTTCAGTAATTTGAGACATGTCTGGCCTGTCAATTGTATTAACTGTCAACTGTTATTTTCGAATTTTGTATCAGAATTTTTCAAAAAATATTCGTTTGTATCACAATTCTTCATTAAAAATAAATGCGAAAAGTAGACGAGAGTGGAATCAAAGAGAATGTTCTTGTACTTGCATATCTCCAAGAAGTGTAAAAATGAAGCATCCATATTTGAGAACAATTTATTCATTCTGTGCTAAGCATGACAATGAACGTGAAACGAAGGTTAGTCAGCAATGGACTGGACACATATATCTACAACCAATATCACAAGAATCGACGTCCTATAGTTGTCGAGGCTCTTGTTAGCATGAACCTGGGGCAACTATATATTTGGAACTTCAAATTTTTCTTTCAACTTCATGAAATGTACTATACATTAGTGTAACAATTTATTTTCCTCATTATTCAATCTAAATCCCCATTAAATCACTAGAAGAATAATGAATAAATCATCTTTATATATCACTTAAACGTGTCTCGCTGGTTGCCTGCAGTTGCATGTATTATGTTCTCAATTTCCATTCCTTTCGAATCATTTTGTAAGTTAACAGGAATTGCAGGTGTTAATATGATTTTAGGAGTTCGTAGAAAAATCATAACTCTTCTAGACACTCGTTTCTAAAAGGACGTTTATAACACTTGTTACATAATATACTAAAATGTATAACTTTCGAATTTTTGCCATGATATCATTGATATTCGGGCAGGTAAAGAATATCATATACTAATGCACCTTTCCATACGTAAACGGCTTTTCAGTGATTATGTTTTATACAGGATAGGAAGATTTTTTTTTAATGAGAGCATTTTTAACAGAGGTGTCAAATTTTTATATTTTGTTTCCACCGTTTGATCCTTTCATATTTTTTCAACAAAAATATCTTATACCGATCTAGAGAAAATCGCATTAAATCCTTAAAACACACATTCCAACCGTTTGGAATGTGATAAAACTCCATTTATTATCAATGTAATATCAAGAGGACTAATTGGCAACTGCTCGATTATGGATCTTATATCATTTATGGCACTTCAAATGTGAATACACATTCAACTTTTCTACAAGAACATCCAGATCCGTTGTTAGAAGAAGTTCTCTTGAATAATCGGATAGAGGAGTGGCCAGCGTAGCTTTGTGGTTGAAGCTTCAATGTTTTATCCACATTGGCTTGCCGGTAGGTGGGTTCGATTCCCACCACGACCGCAGAAATTTTCCTGATGGCCTAAGAAAGTGTTTGGGATCACACGTTGAAAGGTAAAACCCCCGTCATTCCTTGCTCGCTAAGTCTCTTGAAGACTTCTGCAACCGAATGATGGATAAGAACAATTTCAGAACAATTGCAGAACCATTTTGGAACAAAAAATTTTAGAACAATTTCAGAACAAATTTAGAACAATTTTAGAACAATTCAAGAAAAATTTCAGAACAATTTCAGAACAATTTCAGAACAATTTCAGAACAATTTCAGAACAATTTCAGAACAATTTTAGAACAATTTTAGAACAATTTTAGAACAATTTTAGAACAATTTCAGAAAAATTTTAGAACAATTTTGGAACAATGTCAGAACAATTTTTTAGATATGTGGCTGATGCACGATGGTGCGCCTCCTCATTTCGACAAAGCTGTAAGCGATCATTTGAACATCACATTTCCTTATGGTCCTTATTTTCCATAGCCACCTCGGTCACACGATCTTAATTCACTTGATTCATTTCTTCAGGGCTATCTTCAATTATTCAGTCTATGAAACACATGTGAATATTATAGGGATGAGCTTTTGAATCGAATTCTTACCTCTGCCATCATCCCTTCACTAGCAATGCCAGTCAGACGAATTAGACAAGCCCAGTCAGCACATCCTTTTGTTGTCAACCTCGAAAGATGTCGAACAACATTTTATCAAAACTCCTCCATCCATAGAACGGCTAGGCTCTGGAATTCATTGTCTGAGGAAGTATTCCCAACAACATACAATCTCCAGAAGTTCAAAAAAAATTCCAATACCCACCTCCTGTCCCTATCCTCCCTAGGAAAGCACGATGTTCTTTGAACATTATAGGAATTTCCTTTCGTGCGCTCCAAGCGATAAAAAAAATCATCATTACATGATATCTCGAGTGCAACGCAGATGTTTAGACAACTTTAGAAAATGCGTTGAATTTCAAGATTCACATATTGGAAACCATTTTTAATAATCTTGTTGTCTTCACTGATGTCATTGAATAGGTAAACGAAGCTTTCATCACCTCAGAAACGGTTCATGGAATGTATATGTTAAAATGCTATTATCACTAGAAAGCCACAAGGTATCGAGTGAAGTATAGTATAACATTTTTGAAGATAAGATATGAAGAAATCGAACGGTGGTAGCAAAATATTGAATTTGTCACCTGTGTGGAAATCTTATCGTTTGTGAAGTGTTTATATTTGCCATGGATCTCCATCGAGTACCGGCCGAGTCAATTAAAAAAAAATGTGTCAAAAATGCCTTCATCAAACGAAAAAATTCGCCCCATCCTGTATAAAACATATATTCACTGAAAACCAGTTCGTGTATGGAAAGGAGCATCAGTATGACCTCATTCACCAGGCCCGAATATCATGGATACCATGCAACCGTTTAAAAGTTATACATGAAATTAACTTTTTTTATTTCAACTTTCAAGGTCAATACCTCTGTGACGAAGCGCGATAGACAATTTTTAATATGTAGCTGGTACTAATATGTTTTTGGCTAACTCTTTCTGCTCGATCATTTACGACATGACCTCTCCGGACACCCTGTATATAATTCGATTCTCAGTTAGGCAATCGATGTTTGTGTACGTATGCATCCCTAACCCCGCACAAGTTTCGACTTATGTGGCGTTGGTTCCAGTACTAAGACCAACAAGGGAATGCAATTGGAAAATAAAGAAATATTAAAATGATAAAACTAAATAAATTCGAGTGCCCTGGAATAGTGTGATATACAAACCTACTCCCATGTTTGTACCTGACTAGTAAATGGTTGATTAACAGTCACCTCTAAAGAATTGAATGACTTACTGAGAATGTCTTGCTGAGGTACCCAATTCATAATTTTCACATTCTTTGGTATATCTGGGAAGTCCACCTTATCAAATTTCCACAGTAGTCTATAAGGAAGTTCTCTAAACGTGTCCATTATAACATTTCTCAATGCAGGTGACAGTCTATTACTCTTGATATTGGTTCCTAGACTAAAATAAACCACTCCTCTTTCTGCTCCATTCATGAATTCTTGTAAATCCTGGAAACCATTATGTTTCAGAAAATTCTGCTTGAATCTTGAGTCATCGATAGTTTATCTCATGGATATGTGGTTAAATTATCAACAGGAAAATATAAGAGACTGTTTTGTCTACTACATAGAGGCTTCTCCAAAAACAACAGCTATAGTAATCATTGATAACAGCAACCTCATTGATTCGTATGCTTATCCCACATCCTCAGCAAACATGTAAGACTACCACAAGGGCACAAGGTGCGTAGAAATAAACCATATTTCGTATAGAGAGCAAGTCGCTCTGCACACTTGTTTTCCAGACCCAAATAAACAATTTTGCCTGCAGCACCCAAAATTTTGGGCATAAGAGTACGAATTTCAGGGGGTGCGGGGTTAATTCGGGCATATTTTTGAAAATTCTAAAAGGAACCACAGAGGTGATCCAGATGTCGATTTCATATGAAATTGTCTTGATAATCATTATGGTCAATTAATTTTAGCCCTGCGATAACCAGAAGTGCCTCAAAATTTCGTTGAGGAATGGTGTTCAATGTTTCAGGGGTCTCTTAATTCGAATTTACCAACCTAATCATGTCAATATCATTTTTGAATGGGAATTTCGAAAATTATGATGTATTGAACGTTATGCGAATATTCGGAAAACCACGTTATTGAGGCACATTTCTCATTTAACTAAAAATGCTCATTCGACATGAATTGAGCATGACTTATGACTAGTATAATATACCGTATTGGTATGCACTATGTTCTTCGAACATTTAAGAGAGTCCCTTTCGTGCGCTCCAAGAGATAGAGGAAAGTGATTTTCTGAAAGTAGACAACATTGTCATGTCCAGATCGAGAAGACTAACACTGAATAGAACCTTTCGATGATGATAATTTCACCTTTGTTTCAAGACAAAAATTCTACTACATGCGAAACCATTGATTTTAACGAATAATGTTCAGATCATTATCTGGAAAAAATAATATATCAGGGCCATTTGAAGCAAACTCCTGGTTAATTTACTGATTTTTCCACAGCCCTGCAAGCCAACCAGATCTGGGGAAGCTCACCCCAGAACGGCACCTTCTCCATACTTTTTCTTCAGGGAAGGGCAAGGGGGACGGTGGTGATGAATTTCTAAGGGCCTTTTCTCAGATGTGCCCACTGGGGACAGCAGTTCTATCAACATTTTGAACAAAATATCTAGAGAGGGCACAATCAACTATATATCTGTTGTCTGTGTACTGCGACTCCATAAGGGTTCTTCTCATGAACATCAAAATTCAAAGAGGCGATACCTTCTCAGAATAAAGTCTCTTCTGCCGGACTTCTACACTCAGTTGGAAATGTAGGTCTAACCGTTACCACCGATACAACAAGGCCTGCATGCTCCGTGGGTGACGTCACTTAGTGAGGCCTAACCAGCGGCTCGAAACGACAAGCGCTTATAGCGCTATGAAGCGACCGCGTATTTCGATTTTAGTTTTAGATCATCATTGAGCCGATTTTGCTGTTTTTTGAAGTGCTTCCGGTTAAAAGAGGATGCCAGTCGTCAACTGAGCCCTTCTTCTCACCCCATTCGATTTTATCATGGAAAAACGAAGTTTTAAAGCAAAAACCAGGATAAAACACAAACCCATTCGAATTAAATATATTGACAAAAATTGTGGTGAAGGTAAACTTCACACCTACTTATACAGGGCCCGCAGAACATAAACTTATCGTGAGATTGATCGAAAGAAAATTGTGAAAAACGTATTTTATTTTGATTGACATGCCGTTTGTTACAATTACCTATATTTATCTTGGAGAATGCCTATTACCTGAAAAAATAACCAGTGAGTGTTTTCAATTTTCTGTTGTTGGATTTTTCACCCAAGTGGATCGTTACACTTGAAACCGTAATTTTCAAGGGTAATACTGCATTTATCATGCGATGGTTTTTTTTTTGAAATTTTTTTTCGGTATTCACGTATTTTTGTCTGATAAACCGAATTTTATAATGAAAATGTGAACAAACCACTATTTATTGAGATATTTCAAGAAAAAGTTCGAAATTTCGCCTTCTTTCACCCCTTGTGTTGGGGGCATTTGAAGTTACTTGCTCTTATTTTGTCATTGGACACTTTATATACTCATGATGTACTTCGATGGCACATTTTTATATAGAAAATTCAACAGGAAATATGACTTTTATGGCGAGTTTTTCATATTTCGTGAACAAGCATTCCAGATGACGACCATTTAATCAATAATTAATCAAAATACGAGATGTCAAATGTCAATAGATTCGAATGACATTACACACGCCATTATTTTGAATGATATTCTTCCTTCTTCTCACTAAATATGGATTAATCTCAAGAAAATCATATTTATAGTTGAATTATAGATAAATTGTCCGATATGATGAAAAAAGAAGGGAAATTTGTTCTAAATGCCATCCAGAAGACAGGTGGAAAAGAAGGTGAAATTTGGAACTTTTAAGTCGAATATCTTCATGATAAATATCATGATAAATGCAGTTTTACCTTATTGAGTAGAGTGTTTGTAGTTCATGTCAATGTGATAGTTGCAATATGATCATTGGAATGAATTCTGCATTCATTGCCACGAGGCAAATGACCGTTTTCAGAAAGAAATTTGAGAATGAGAATTGAAAATGCCCGTTTATTATGAACATTCAAGAAAATTTCCTCGAATTCAGAGATGATTTTGTTGACTATAATATACGAATACAAAACTAACTGCACAATCAAAGCTTTTCTAATTTCCTCTACTTATACTTTTTATGAGAGAGTAATTGTCTTCTATTATTGATTCATTATTATAAATCAAGCTCTGTTTACTACTGAACTTGGAGATGGAGTAAAATCCTCGCGGTGAATTGCATATACCCATATTTTCGATAGCTCCTCGTCCAACGGGAAACTAAAAGCATGAACTTTTGAACCACCCACATAATTCCCCCGACAAAAGGGAACACAACACTTGAAAGGCATTGTTATTTCGCCGATCACAACACAAAATATTCCACAAAACAGTAATTTTTCCGCCAATTATTTTGATGAATAAACAACAAAAGAATTCGGGACCGTTTCAAAAACATACGTGAAACACCGATGAATTAACACGAACTGACGCGTTAGTCGACAAGCGATAAAATAAAACACTGGCCTCTCTTGGTGACGTCACGAGCTGTTTACGTCAGAGTCTGCTGGCCTTGTTGTATCGGTGGTAACGGTCTAACTCGACAAATCTCCTCTGGTAGAGCCATCTTGCGTTTCCTGTAGTTAATGTTTTCATGAGATTCTCAACTAAATGATGGTTGAGTTTCATTTTCTGGCTCTCTACAAATCAAACTTGATTTAGCCTTCAAGTCGAACGACGAACTTCCTGTGCATCAAAATGGTGGATTATTGGTTGTGCATTCATCATTATCTGACAGATAATTGGAATGGCTAGTTGATAGTCGAGACTTGTGCGGAGTTCCAGAGAGGAGGAGGAACAAGTTTCATTGGATTCAAAATTGCAGTATGATACCCCTTGTTTTGTTTAGCCACACTTATGCTATATAAAGCTTTAGTTGAATCACATTTGAGCTATGGCATTATTGCTTTGGGAGGAGTATTGGATAGTCACCTGGACGTCTTGGAGAAAACTCAGAAATGGATTGTCAAAATTATTTTCAACAAACCTCGGTCATATTCCACTGACCTTCTATTTCAAGAAAGTAAAATCCTCGATGCTAGACAACTTTTTTATAAACAACTAGCACTAAACTGGTTCAAAAATAGAAGTAACGATCAAGGAAAAAGGCACAACTTCAATACTCGCTGTGGAAACCAAGCAGTTGCGCACAGAAAACGAAAAGTAATTGGGCAGCGATGTTATACATATATAACTCCACGAGTATCCAATCATCTTCCAAATGAACTTAAAGAAAAGCGCACTATTAAACAATTCAAGGCTGCATTCACTAGATGGTTGCATAGTAAATCGAGACCTGATATTCATGATATTATAAATGTCAAGAAATACTAATAGCAAAATTACAGAATCGCGAAACTTGTTTTTCGATCATTGTGAGAAATCACCGTGAAAATTATTCTTATAGAAAGAAAAAAAAACGTTACTAAGGGATGAATTTCATTGCGCGAAGAAAATACAATGATACCCACGAGCAAGGAAACTTTTGTGGGGATTCGTTTATTTCTTGTTCAATCATTTTTAACTTTTATGATTTTAATCACTGATTCTGTGAATTACCTGTGATGTACCTGAATAAACTTCATTATTATTATTATCATTATTATTATTATATTATTATTACTACCTGTTGACTGATAGGCACAAGTTATTTGTATAGAGCTAGTTTTATTAATGTGAACCCCCCTTAATCTTCTTTGTTTTCTATCCATTCAAGAAGATTCAAAACTGATTTTTTTACGATATTCCATATTGGTTTCAATCATATTGAGAGAGTGTTGCAATATCTCTTCAAACATACAGGGTATACAGAAATATATTGATTTTATTATATGGACTGCGCTGTATATTTTGATAGATGAAGATCTTTCTATATATAGGTTTGAAATCAGGATGATTGAGAGAATTCAAATTCATCGAAATATACAGGGCGTTTCATATGAAAAATATATTTATTTCTGTATACCCTGTATATTTGAATAGATATTGCATAATTGTCAAATTGAGTGAAATCTGTGCAAAAAATTGTATAAAATCAGTTTTGAAATTTTCAAAATGGGTGGAAAACAAAAAAGATAAAGGGGGTTCACATTAATAAAACTAGCCCTGTACAGGGTGACCCAGGGTTAAACTGCCAAACGTTTAGGATCAGTTTTTCGGGCAAGGCATTTTTTCCTGTAAGCATGTGTCCTACTGGTACTGGTACTGGTGGGGGACGTTTGCACGTCAGCAACTAGTCCCTAATGGGACCTTTTTGCAAACCCCAAAGTGTTTTCAATATGTGGTTCGCTTAAGAGAGCTGGCTAACATCCTTTTCAGGCACCGCCCATCAGCTCTCTCTCAGATTTTTTTGTCTGTGTTTTGTAGGCTAGTGATGTACTCACTACCATACACGCAGTAAAAGGCCTGCTAGCTATCCTCGTTAACCCCCGTTAGAGACCGAGGTCAGCTGGTAGTTTTCCACACCCACGTACATACACCGTCATTCTTCTTCTCTGATGCTCACAACCACATCATCATTTCTTTCTGCGTGTTCTGTGTAGGCTTTGTTACTAATTCCATGCGCCACTTTAGGAGCAGCACTGTTAATTAGAAAACAACAGCGAATCGTGCAGGACTATCCCCAGCCGATGCTCCGAAACTTTACAATATTCAATTTGTAAATAAAATTTTGAAAAAAGTTCCTTGTTCGTGCTGGGAATCGAATCCACGACCTTACGGTCGTGAGGCTGACGCTCTTTCACTGCGCGCCAATCCCATGTCCTAACTTGCTCCATTTTAGAAATATAGGGTCCCAAAGTTTTTAGAAAAAATCAGTTTTTCATTAATTACTCATGCATGCTCATTTGAGGTAATAAGGGGCTCGTGTTCACTGTTTACGTAGAATGAAATTATTATTTCCAATAGCGTTCCAGAGGGTAATCTTTCTGAAGATCAATGGATACAAAAGAAATCGATGACAAAAACATTGTATTTTTGAAAGTTCAATTCGAAAAATGAACATACAAATGAAACAGTGGCGTACAATAATAATTAGATCACCCTCTCGGACGCTACTGGAAATAATGATTTTATTATAAGTAAACAGTAAACAGGAGCGTCTTATTACCTCAAATGTGCATGCCAAGTTTTATCAAAATCAGCCCGAAGGTTTCTGAGTGATTAATGAAAAACAGAAAAACAACATCGGATGACTTCTTTTGACCCACCTGTTAAAAACATCTTGTATGAGTTGTGTTATGGCAGAACTCAATCTAGTATGAGTAGAAATAGTGCCAAAATTTCACAACGACTTCTATTGTGGTGTCTTAATTGACCCATTCGACATCTACACAAATATTTTTAGTCAAATTCAATTTTTTTCATTTTCACTCGGAAACGGTACGTTTTATCGAGGTCCTACAAGATGAATTTTTACTCTAAGACTGAACATTCTGTTTGAGAAGTAATAAAAACATCGATATTACCCCAAAAACGCCACTGGTATAAATATCAGCTAAAAAATTCTACGAATGAGTATGTCATCACAATATCTCGTATTTTTGTAGAGTAGTTCTTTAGTGATTGGAGGGAAATCTATTCTCTCTTTTAACTTGAACGCCCTGTATTTTGGGAAAAAAGCGTCTTACGATTAATTTTTATATGAACTTTCTTACTCAAGATAGAGTGTTCCATCAATTGTCAAAGTTTTGCTACTATAAAGTGGACCACCTTGTATATGTACAGGGTGATTCACCATAAATGTCCCCCCCTCTATCTCACTTATTTTTGAACCGATTTGAAAATTTGAGAAATAATCTGAAATTATTTTCAGAAATTTTTTTCCTGTTGCATCAGAAAATACAAGGTGCTCGTAACCAACGATCTACAGAGTACTACTTGATTTTTTCAAATGGAACACCCTGTATTTCATTGTATTTTTAGATTCCTCCTGAGGAGCTGATTTCATCAATGAATCACACTTGGGGTATAGCGGGAATGATTACAGAGATATAGGGTGTTCAAAATCGAGATTTTTCAACTTTAAGATTTTTTTGTGTCGAAACTATTCATTATTGGTCAAAACGGCTTCTATGTCCCCATCTCAACTTTTGATTTATTATCTACTGACATTTAATTGGAACATTTACAGGGTGATTCAAGATTCAGAATTCTGATCACCCTGTATCTGTTCCAATCATCAAATATCAGTGTATGGTAAATCTACAGTTAAGATACGGACAAGAGAGCCTAAAGTTGAAAACTCTCGCTTTTAAATACCCTATATCTCTGTAATCATTCCCACTAGACCCCAAGTGTGATGCATTGATCAAATCAGCTCTTCAGGGAGAATCTAAAGATACAATGAAAAATAGGGTGTTCCATTTGAAAAAATTGAATAGTACCCTGTAGATCGTTTGTTCTGAGCACCCTGTATTTTCTGATGTAATGGAAAAAAACTCTATCGAAAATCATTCAAGATGATATTTCAAATTTTGAAATCGGTTCAAAAATAACTGAGCTAGAGGGGGGGACATTTATGGTGAATCACCCTGTACATATTGACAACTCATTTAGTATAATCTTCTGTAGTAGTCCATACTCATAGTGGAGTGGAATGATCAAGAAAGAAAATTCAAAGTCGTCTCCACAATTTTAATGTCGAAGGAGGCAGTCATTCCTGCTTCAATAAAGTTGGATACATGTTTCGGCCAGTTTGTTGCTAATTCGACTGAAGATGGCCATTTGAATGGCCGAAACATGTATCAAACTTTATTGAAGCAGGATTGACTGCCTCCTTCGACATTGAAATTGTGGAGACGACTTTGAGTTTTCTTTCTTGTTAATGTAGTATATTCAATAGAGATGACTCCTCAATTGCGTTTGGCGGGATCTAGATAATATTGAGCCTTTGTAAAGTTCACCAAATCGATGACATCATCAAAATATTCCTACCACAAATCTGCAAAAAAACTCAAACTACTTTGTGATCTGATATCAGATGAGGAACCCAGAATTGTAAAACCAGAATTTTGATCACATATAGTCAAGTCTTGAGATGGAAGAACAAACATCCAAGAATTGAATGACCACCTACCTGTGGCAAAGGTTTCAGAGGACTCAAATGCATACCACCTCCAATGCTTACAAACGCCGGACCCAGAGGTCTCAAGTTGAAAGCAGGATCAACATTGACGAACATCATGCTGAAGTTCAGCATAAGATCTCTCATTGGGGGAATCCCTCCACCGAAGTGTTTCTCGATCAAACTCTCCTCATTCAGCGGGATGAAGCTGGTCAGATACATGCACATTGTGAAGAGAGAGCTAGAAAGTCGTTGCCAGAAGTTCAGCTTGCCTTCGAACGGCAAGAATATATCTGGGAAAGCGACAGGATGCGACGGGTTGCCGATGATGTTGTGGAAAAACGTGATCAGTTCCATACTGGCCACTCCGATGTAAGGACACTTGAACCTAACGGAGAATGCCAACATTATCGGGTGGATATATTCAACTAGCACCAGGTCGAAGTGCTCTGATTGGTTCTTCAACAGGACCTGGATTTCTGGGTGAGCTAGCTCCTTGTCGCAGGCTGCGAAGCTAGCTTCTTTCACGAGGTTCATCAGCTTCAAAGGGTTGTACTTGTATTCCTCCATGAGTTTGATGAAGTCCATTTGTTGCCAGGTGTCGTAGGTGGAGCTGACATCTATTTCGCGAATCGTAGAGCTGGGATCGTTTTCTGGATCGGTTGTTATGACGACTAGGTCATGACCTCTTTTAGCTAGCTCTCTCCATAGAGGCCTGAAGACTATCTGGTGGCTGTAGCTAGGAGTTGGGATCACTCCTAGGATTCTAGCGCTTTCACTTACACCGTTTATCGTTATTATAGTGAAGAGGAGTGTTTGGATCATTATCACGGATGGAACTGAATGGTTTTTGATAAAGTTTTCACATTATTTGGGAAGGAATTAACGAAAACTATGGGGACAAATAGACGTATGTTCTTTCCAAGGAAGTTCAAATATTGGTAGCGATCAACTTTTCAAGATAATGTTATCCGTGAATTAAAACGAAACGTTACCTTCAATGACAATCATTATCTTGAATGATTACAATTTAACAGAATCATATGGTACAACCCCTCTTTCTCCTCTAGTTTTATGGATGAGTGTTCCAAACTCGAAACGACGACAATTATTGTTCAATCGACATTTTGTGATATAGCTACTAGTTTTGCCTTACTTCTGGTTTGACCGAAAATGACCCCTGCACTTCGGATTTTCAAATGGGACACCCTGTATTCTAATAAAGAATTCCAAAATACCATGTTGTATTCAGAACAATTCCCGATTGCATTTGGAGTTTACATATGCTCAATGAGTGTGACAGAGGAAGAAGTTTCAATATTGCGCCACCAGACTGATCATTTATCATATGGAAATTTCGAATGCAAATATCTACGTTATCGTTTGAAAAAACCCTAACAAATCTGGTATCGTTGAATTCGTTATGATAATCCCCAATCGATTATGGAATAAAATAATGTGTGTGTCATTTGCAAATGGAATGTTCAAGTCGTTTCTGGTCAAACCGGAAGTACGAGAGAGAAAGTAAATATGTCAAGAAATTTCAATTGAACTATTATTCACAAGTCCCGAATTTCGATTCACTTACTTTATAGATTCAAGTTTAGAAATCAATCACATTTCACACATTCGCGAGATTGAGTACTTCAATTTTGACAAAAAAACTATAGAATTCACCTAGAGTTAGATGAGGCACTCAAACACGGCAGAAGAAATATGCGTTGCGATTTGAAAATTCTTGATATGAATATTGACATGTTTTGACAAATGTTCATATTAATTCATGGTTTAGGCTATATATTATAAAGCAAGAAAACGTACATCTCATCTCCACCAAGGAGTTGGAGTTGGACTGTGAGTTTTTCACTTATTTTTCATCGCATATTTTTTAAATAAATGACTATATACAAACTGATTCACGGTGGATGGCACATTAGACGTTTCTAGAAAACGCAACATAGGATTATACTGAAAATTCGGTTTCTTTGATAATTAGTTGTGTTCTATCGACCTGAAATATTCTCACCTCTGCGACGTTGCCGCTTATAGAGAAGTAGCAACATCTCTGATTTTTTGAATGGGACACCCTATATATCATTCCATTTTCAGATTCTTCCTCTTGGGGTCTGGCGGGACTGACAACAAAGATATATGGTGTGAAAAATCGGGATTTTTCAACTTCAAGAATTTCTTGTGTCGAAACTATTCATAATTAGTCAAAACGATTTTTATATCTTTATCCCAACTTTCAATGTACTATAAATTGATATTTAATCGAAAAAGATACAGGGTGGTTGAAAATCCTAATTCTGAACCACCCTGTACCTATTTCAATTAAATATCAATTGATAGTGAATAAAAAGTTGAGATAGGGACATGGAAACCGTTTTGACGTTGAAAAATCTCGAGTTTTCATACCCTATATATCTCTGTCATTGCCACTGCTAGACTCCAAGTGTTATAGGTCAATGAAATCAACTCTTCAGGGAGAATCAGAAAATGGAATAAGATACAGGGTGTCCCATTGAAAGAATCAAAGCTGTTGCTAGTTTCCAACATAAGCGGCAACGTCGCAGCGCTAAGAATATTTTAGGTCGATAGAGCTAATTATCCAAGTCATCAAATTTTCAGAATCATCACAAGTTTCGTTCTCCAGAAACGTCCAATGTGCCTTCCACCGTGAATCAGCCTGTATACATGGTGATTCATGAGAAGACTCATATAACCAAATGGTGAATACGAGTAATCAATACAAGTTGATGTATATGTATATATGAGAATAGTTTTTGACCCTCGACGAATACACGTGAGATTGCCATATAATTTTGATAGCCGATATTTCTGAAGGGATTTATCGTAATCTGCTGAAACTTGACAGCGATGTTTCTTCACTGAAACTATTATAGATGGCATATTATGGAAACAAAATCCAGATCCGGACTTGGGAATAGTATATTACACATCGTGGTGGGGGGAGATTCATTCCTGTCGTGAGATTAGTCGTTAGTTAGTTAGCTATATAATCGGAAAATTTCATTGGATTCCGAAAGATCAGACAAAATTTTATAAGAACTCATCTCCAATTTGCACGGCACACTTTGACCGATTCAATGAAGAAATATGGAACAAAAACGTTCGAATGAATTTTCAATTTCGACCTGGCTGATAACTCATATAGACCGAGAGGTGAGTGGCAAAACAATGCAACAGTTTTCTAAAGGTTGAAATTTTGATATCATGAAGTATTTAGGGTGTTTAGCAATAGCCTGATGCCGTCAGTCAGCCAGTTTCGTTAGCGGTTAGCGCAGTGGCGGCATCAAAATTGTTAAAAATTATATAATGTCGGAACGGTTTTCTGAAATCTGAAAATTGGGTCGAATATCTCGTAAACTGATTACTCCAGCTCAGTTGAAGATGATGCATGTTTTGAACAAAATTGAACAATGAATTCGAGAAATTGGAAATTATCGAAATCTCATCAGAGCCGTAGAAAAATTCGTAGGAAAAGTAACCACAACCCCCCTGTATCTCACCAGTGGATGAAATGCCCGGAATGACTCACTGGTGAAGAAATTAGTAATTTGAAGACAAAAAAATATACTGATTTAGAATGCAAAATATTGAATAATTCTTGAGTCATTGCGAAAAATTCATTTTCATTTCTCAACTTCAACACCCTGTATCTATAGAACTGAGCACTCAAAAACCGCATGTCCCTACCTTAGTAATGATGAAATCACGAGGGCTATATCACCTGTCAAGCGTTGTCAGTAGAATTTCGAAACACTCAGTATGTAATGATTCGATAAACAACCTGTATATGTATCATTCATTCATGATTTGAATACTAGAAACGGATGTGATAGATTGAAAAATATGGTGAAATCTTAGCCGTAGCACTTGATGATAGTGGCATCGAAGGCACTCGATCGAGTCTGGCACCACGGACTCCTCGCCAAGCTTCCATCTTATGGCTTGCCTCCCCAGCTATGTTCTCTGCTAGCTAGTTTTCTCTCAAACAGGTATCTCCATGTAGTGGTCGACGGAGTTTCATCTGACTCTCTTATCATAAATGTTGGTGTTCCGCAAGGATCAATTCTAGCACCAACACTATTTCTACTCCATATCAACGATTTGTTGGAAGCAACTTCATGTCCAGTAGGTACACAGCTTCGCAGATGATAGTACCCTCCATACCGAGTTCTCTTCCAGGGCTACAATACCAACAGGCAAATCAGAACTGAACGAGGGAGAAATGTTGACAACATAAATATGGACTTGGCATCAATTCTCGAATGGGGATTCAGTAACTTGGTAGAATTCAATGCAAACAAAACACAAGCATGCCTTTTCTCTAGAAAAGCCGATCTCACTGTGCCCACCATAAGCTTCTCAAGAGTAACCATACCTTTGAAGACATCCATTTCGATGCTTGGTATTACTATCAGCAATAACCTTTCTTGGTAAAATCACGTGAGATCAATTGCTAGAAGTACACCCCAAAAACTTGATGTTCTGTTTCGGGACAGGACCTATTTCACTTCCAGTCAGCTGCTTATGATCTATAAGGCACAGATCGGACCTGTCCTGGAAAACTGTTCCCATATTTGGAGTGCAGCACCCAAACATACCCTGAAACATCTCCACATCTCTGGAACACCGTAGAAAAGTTGGCGATCTTGCTCTATTCAATAGATATTTTCATGGACGATGCTCTTCTGAAATATCAACAATTGTTCCTCCCTTGGCAGTCCCCGCGAGAGTAACCTGTCTAGTTGAGGTTTCGCACCCCTTCGTGGTCACCTTGGAGACCTGCAGAACATCTATTTTCAAAGATTCGTTCATCCAACGAACAGTGAGGCTCTGGAACACATTGCCAAGGGAGGTGTTCCCCGAGGCATATAACCTCCAGAAATTTGAGAAGAACACCAATTCCTACCTTATTTCCCTTGGTTCTCACGATGTTCTCTGAACATTACAGGATATCACTTTTCGTGAGAACCAGAACATATTGAAAAATTCATTTCAGGAAATAAAGTTCATACAAACATGTGTCCCAACTTGCTTTGTTTTCGAGATACAGGGTATTAATATTCACATGAAAAATCTTTTTCTATTCATTTCTCAATTATCTTCACATCAATTTCAATAAAACGTTGAATTTTTGTCAATAGTGATATGGAGCTCCTTCTAGTGCAATTAGATTCGAAATAATATATTCAGTGGCGTCACAGTGGGTAAATTTATCGATATTCATGGTGAATGTCATTGTACACCACCGGTTTTTCTGAGTTTCATATTTTTATTAGATTGACCTATTGAAATAACAACTTTTCAGTCACTTTGTGATTTTTGTATCTACCTTAGTTCTTGAAGAAACAATAAAAATTCGATTTGACTCCAAATTTTAATGTAAGTGGATGTTTTCAAGACTTCCATTGAGATTACTCAATAGCCCCAATTAGAATCATTTCGAAATTTTGGAGCTTTCTCAGTCTCCATCCATACTGAATTTTGGTAGTATGAAAGTTTATATAGGGGGATTATGAATAATAACATATAATACTCCCAACTTCAACATCCTGTATCTCAAAAAAACGGAGCAAGTAAGGACACATGTTCACATGAACTTTATTTGCTAGAATGTCACAAGGAATCACCCCTTGAAATTTTTCGGTGTTATTCAGATACATCCTGTATATATACAAGTTTTCTGAAGCTATGTTTACTCACAAATTATTTTTGTAATTCGTGAAAAATTAAAACAATCCGTGTTTACGAATTCCTCCTACTTTGTCACATATTATGAAATACTGATACAGATTGGTTGCATTTCTATATTCCAGCAGAGCAAACCTGGAATCTGAGTAGGTATCATGAGCAATTCATATTTCCAGTCCGAGACTTGTTCAGAAAATGGTTGATTGTTTTGTTAGAATCAAAGGAGACCTTTGTTTGACCAGCGAATTTTGCCTTTGCGAGTGGAAGCGTTAGTGAAGCCGAGCGAAAGCATAATTTGCGAGTCAAACAAAGTCACTTTTGATCCGAATGGAACATGCTTTTTTTGCTGCAACCGAACACTTGACAGATTATTTCGATAAAATGGGTCAATAGATAGAAACAAGGCCTCAGACTACTTTACTCTGTTACAATTTGTGTTGACATGAATCATGTCAGTAGATACTATACATGCACAATCCAATACTACCCGAGAAACGTGGATGCCGTGACATAAGGATGCGATAAGTCCACACAAAACACAATGGCCAGTGAGTAGCATGCCGGCCTGATATGCCAAAGGTTGCAGTGCTGGTTCAAATTCCGTACTCCACCAACTCTTTTCTTCTTTTTTGTTTCTTCGTTGTCATTAATTCGAAAAAAAATACTGTGGAGTCATTTACAGATCATTTTCATTCAATTTTCGAGGATGTTCCCCTAGGAAGTAAAAGTGTTGCCTATTTTCGTGTCAGCAACAGGAACGTCACTTTCAAGAGCTAATTTTGGAATCTAAATAGACTAATTTCGAGTCGGATGCAGAAGAAATTGATTTTCCTTCATTCACTAGAGAACAACTCAACAAAAGTACCAGATATTCTGCTGATATATTGAGTATCTGTAAAGGTTCAAACACAATGCAGAAGACAACGGAACAGGAATGAGAAATAGCACCATAATTGGTTCAAAACGCGTTCAAGGTCAAAATTGACCAATAGTAGACCTGCATTTCCTATTTTTTATTCCATATTCTATATACCTCTACATTGTGTCACCACCTTAAGCAAACACGTTTGTGGAGTTGTTGGGGCAATATTGTATTTATCTCGTTCTCAAGTGGAAGTGGTACCTACTTTGAAAACTGCGAAACCTCAGGTGCAAGGAATACATGGAAATACAGAATCATCTCACCCCGCATGCTGAAAGGTTTTCACGCTTATTTTCCATAGGTAGCTTTGAAGTTAAGAAGTTAAGAAGACGCGTGTCAAACCGCAGCGCTAATGAGTCGTCGTGGAAAAAACTTTGATACCGATAAAAAAGCGCATCCTTTTTTATAGCCATAAATATTTTCTTGATATGCCTGGAACTGGAGGGCAGTAGATTTTCTATCGTTTCCACAATTGTTTCTGATTCGACCGTCATTATTCCCGAGGTAATCCCAATTCAAATTATACGCGTAAATAAACGTTTATAACGTTATATTTTTCAAAATATTCCATGTTTCGGGAACTCAAGAAATATTATCGTTCATTGTGAGAACCTCACCGTAACATAACTGTGTTAACATTGCCGTATATTCTTGAATTTCTAGGTATATTGGAGCAGTCTGAAACGATATGAAATAATGATAATTTGAAATCCCACTGAAATTATGAAATTTTAATTTTTTACACATGCCAGACCCTCATTAACATTGCAAATAAGGAATGTATATTTATTTTCATCTCCATTCATAAATGTTAATTCCTATCAATTCTGAGAGCGGCGCCACTTTCTGGATACAAATTGTTGGCATGCAAGGGTTTCGTAGTCCCTAACTTTTTAGGTTAATTTTTCATTTTGAGTGGATGGAAAAATTAATACATATTTGTGAAGATCTAATCTATGTTCTTGTCGTCTCACTTTTTCGAAATTTGATCCAGTTTTTCCTAAAAAAATCGCAAAGTAACGTGTTTTTTGATGATTTTCCAATTTTTTTTTTGGAAGAACCGAATCGAATTTCGGAAAAGTAAGACGACAGGAATATGGATAAGATCTTCACGAGTAAGTACAATTTTTTTCATCCACTCAAAATGAAAAATGACCATGAAAAGTTAGGGACTACGAAACCGTTGCATTATTGCTTTACATCATAGTACAACTTCCTCTTAACAGGTATTGAAAAATCATTTCGGAATGTCATCATAAAATATGGAATAAATAGGAAAAATGCCTTCCCGCTGTTTAGAACTCGAAACCAAATGTAACTACAAATTTTGGTGAAGGTGTCGGATTTTTCATTCAAGACCTATTTCAGTTACATGATACACTAACTTTCGCCATAACCATAGCTTATACAGGCTGTTTGGTGTTTAAATAAAAAAAATACGATTATTTTCAATTTCAACATTATGTTGTATTTCCCAATCGAAAATTACAATGTGTGTGGGGATAATGAAGGTAATCGAATCAATCGATCAATCTTTTGACCTTCTTGAATGTTCAAAAAGTTGATTTTCCAAAAAGATTATTATTGATTTTTTCAAAAGAATTGTTCAGGAACCCTAGAGAGGAGAAGGCAAAGTTGATTTCATCAATATCTAGTAAGTAGTCGAGCAACTGTTTAGTCGTATCAATGATTGGGGAATTTTCTTACTAATGAGGAATATCTTGTCGACGTTATAACTAATCTATACATGAATTGACCGTTGACTGAAAAAATAAATACTCATAAATCTAGTTATAGTTCCATTTACCGAAAAAAAATCTTGGCTGAGACTACGGTGCCTTTGGAAAAAAAACTTTGTACATTGGAATACATTTTGCATTTTTAATCAGAAAAAGCTTCGTTTATCATGGAAACTGATCATATAAAAGTATGGAAATAGTATTTTCTGTTACTTATGTATAAGTTATTGAGTGAAAATGAGAATCTCATGTTATTCCTGTCAAGTAACATTTATCTTCTCAGATTAGAAAATCTGAATGATTTTTCCGAAAATTAGTTAGTTTTCTTCTTGGACTTCTTGTTGGTGAAACACCTGAGAACCAACCAAAAAGAAACCTTGACGAGCACGAAGCATAAAATTACAATTAGAACAACAATCAACGTCAAAAATCCGACAACGTCCAGCATGTAGTACTTCCAAGCTGGCATCCCTACAACAGGACTCCTCAGATGTCGAGCGCCCTTATGTCTGATCACGTATTCCGTCCAATAAACTGCCCTTTGGAGGCTAGGGACCTCTTCGTCTCTGAAGATGGCTCCCATTTCTCTCGCCTTTTCCCGGTACCTAGAAGAAACGCATGATATCACACATGATGAGGATTTCACATCCCAAAAATATATGTTTATTATACAAGGATAAAAGTAGTAGATTTCAGCTCCAAAACAAACAAAAAAACGTGAGCTTAAATCTAATATATTTTTTCTGTTACAGAAGAAACGACATTAGATGAAATGTGAAGTTTCTAACAAAAATTATACCCGCAATCTTCATCATTCTTTTGAAGTAATCAAATATCTGTCAGTCTAATTCTGTGATTTGATTTCAAAAAATTGTGAACTTAGTGGTTGTCTCTGTTTCTTTAGGATTAATTTACATATATCATCCTGTACATTTATCCAAAATGAGTTGAGTTACTATTGAATCATTAGGGGGTTTTGTTTCATTATTGTTTGACAGACTTGTCGGAAAATTGTGCTAGGAAAATGGATGCATTCACCAATATTTTTTCTTGCTCCAGGATTGATTTTGGATTTCTGCTTGCTTAGCATGAAGTACAGCATCCGCTATCGTTAAATTTGAAATTAACTGCACTTTCTCGCTGCATCTCTTATCGGACATCTCAACAAAGATTTTGTCTCGTATAAGTTCTTCCTTCAACATTCCGTATTCACAATATTATGCCAAAGTATGCAAGGTTGTTATATAAGAATTGAACTGAAATATTTCGAAGATGATGTTTCCGCGTGGAATGAAATGATTCGCAAAGGCTTTGAGAAAATCTTCATATTCAATGGGTATTTATAGATATTGGATAATGATTTCTCCACTATTCTTCCTCATGATGTTGAGTAGAGTATTGATTTTCTCATCATCTAGTTTCATGAGTTGAAAAGATACACTCATATATCGCTCGAACCTTCTCTGCCATTGGGCCAAGATGCAGGATTATTGAAGTTGAATTTTTTAGAAGGAGTTATATTTGCTCATACCTGGACTGAAGGAGCAGACATTGTTTCACTTTCGGAATCAGGCATGGAGCTGAATATACCCGGGATGATATTATTCAACCACCGCTGCCACCATGTGAAAACAGCGTCATTTTTCAAGAGAGAAGTTAATGGTTCAAAAATTTCTGATTTAATGGGAATGAACCGACCAGCAGAATTCATGATTCCAAGTAACTGTTGTACTTCTTTTTTATTTGATGGACGTGGAAACATGACTATTGCTTCAACACGAGAAGGATCAATGTGTATCCCCGAAGAAGATACAATGTGGCCTAAAGATTTCACACTTTCAACCACAATAACACACTTGGATTCATTGAGAGTAATGCCTTCAGAATGAAGCCTGGATAATACATCTCGTGAAATAGAATCATGTTCTTGAATCGTAGTGGAATGAATAAGAATATCATCAACATGAATTATGATATCCCTAACATCTGAAATTAATCTAGAAAAGTTCTGAAATATTCAGGTGCACAGGCAATGCAATTCAACATAGGTTAGTGTAAGTTGATTTTTTCAATGAATTTGAAAAAGGGGATGATCCGTTAGGATAAATTTATATATATCATCCTGTACATTTATTCGAAATGAGTTGAGTTACCATTGAATCATTAGGGGGTTTTGTTTTATCATTGTTTGAGAGACTTGTCAGGAGAATTGTGCTAGGTAAATGGATGATGAATATTGGAGAACATAGAATTCAACCAGAAATAGCATTCGAATCATTTTTCCATAATACTACAGTTTCTTAATTTACGTAACCGCGAAACGGAATGAAAGATAAACGGACTTGCAGTTCTCTCTCGGAGACGGCTTATTTTTCGGATCTAGAACAACAAAAGCCCACAACAGTGTATATATGTAACAGTTTGAAATCGTGTCACCACCATTTTTTTCATTCATGTAACGATTTCCACTTTTTTTTGGAATGTAGAGAGGGAAAGGCGATTTAAAAAAATTCGCGTGCACCCCTGGAATTGGCGTCCTCTGAAATAGATCTGTACCAAGTTTCATGAAAAAATATTCAACATAAAAAAATCTACTGCGTGTCCCATTTCAACCCCCCCCCCTCTCTCTATATCTCAGCTACTGCAATACGTGCAATATCTACCAAATTGGGACCAGTATGAATAACCATCACTATGATCACTTCTTCAAAGACGAACATCCTGTTGATAGTAATAATGATAATAAATATATGGTTTCATATTTTTAATTTTCAGCCTCGGAAAATAGTGAATTTCAATTAAAGGCAAATTTTGGAACGTTCAACAGCTCCGTTATTCAGGTATGGAATCGTGTTTCGAAAAAAAAAAACAAGTTATAAGATTTATGTTGAAATCACCCTATCCGAGTAAATAATTATTACCTACGTTCGCAGTAATGCTGTCCAGGTGTGCCTGTTTCTCGAAACATTTCATGGGAATATGGATATGGGGGTTTGAAACCATGGAGCAATATTATGGGGTCAATTATTTTGTAAAAGAATTCTAACATGATTTCATGAATAATGTACCTCTTCTCATTTTTTATAAAAACGCACGGCACTGTCCAAAACCATGTATCTCTCAAAAAAACGATACTATTGATAGTGATTCATACTTTTCCCAATTTGGTAAAGATCGCAAGACTAATAGCTGATGTGTTTTAAATGAGACATGCTGCAGATTTGTTAATCTCGGATATTTTTTAATAGAACTTGTTACAAATATATTTCAGGTAAATGGTAAAAACTTCACAAACGATAAGATCTCCACAAACTAACGTTGGCTCTCTTAACTTTTATATATCTTACTTTCCCAACCTGAAGGATTAGTTACCTGTGAGCAGGTACGATAAACCTTCATTTTCGAAAATTGGGCACAATATCTACATTAAAATATGTTATACCGGATTAATTCGAAAGAGTTGATAGCAAATACATATTATTAATTACTAAGAAAACAAATTCAACAGTGGTGAGCTCTATTGAGGTCTAATTGATCATTGAGTAAAATGTCAAAATTTTTGAGTTTGTTGATTTCTAATGATTCAAAATGATTGAGTTTCAGTCCTTTATTTTCTACGTGCAGAATTTCGAAATTATCATCAAAACTATGGTTTTCTTTTAATATATGGTTGGCGTATGTTGAATTTGTTTTCTTTTCCATAAAATTCATCTTATGTTCATGAATGCGCTGATCAAACGTACGACCTATCTCACCGATATATACCTTAGGACAAGATCCACATTTGAGTTTGTATACCCCTGATTTTTCGAATTAGGAAGTTTTGTCTTCATTATTCTTGATAAACCGTCCCAATAACGTGTTATTTGTTCTATATACCACTTTGAAGTCCTGTTTATGTAGGAATGGAGCTAATTTCTCAGTTGATGATCCGAAATAGGTTAAAGTTCTATAATTTTGATTATTATTCTTGATGGTAGGGTAAACTTCTTGAATAGCTTTATCATGAAGTTTTTTTGAAAGAATACTGTCTATCAAATTAATTATCCGTAGTTGACTGCAATCTGTTTTATGATATTGAGTTCTTTATTGAAATTTACTTCCGACATTTACTAGTCTGTGTATCATACTATTATATGCTGAAATTTTATGTTGAATGTTTATTCTGAATGAGTATATAGGGTGTCCCGAAATAACATAGTACGAGTTCAACCACAGATTCTATAGGAACAAGAATAGTGGTGAAAGTTCATATAAACATGGGTCCAGAAATGCCCCATCTAAGAAATCATTATCGATTGACTTATCAGAGAAGAAACATCATCAAGAGAGACTCATCATTTTAAATGTTGAGAACATCAGAAGTGAGTTTGGAATTGAATTTCGATAAAAAATCTCTTCCTAACAAATTTTGATTGACATTCCCATTTTTATGACATATGTAATGGAATCTTGACAAATTCTGTCATATGATAAATTCAACCCCCAACGGTTTAATCACAATCAAGCTCATTTTACTCAAAATCAATGTTATATCATTATTTCAACTGCATCTTCTTCAAGTTATTCTGCAACAAACTGACCACCTTCAACTTTCAAAGAATTCTGTTTGTTCAGTTTCATCCAACAAGCTCTTTTTTTAAGCGTATACTTTAAACATAAAATTATTGCACCCTATCATCCTTCAACGAATGGTATGGCTGAACATGCTGTCCGTTCTTTCGAGAAAGTTTTGAAAGCAGCATTTATTGGATACGCAGAATATCAAGGTTTTGGTGGATATTTCAATTAGTAGATATTTATTGCATTATAGAAATTCAGTTCATTGTTCCACGCATGAAAGTCCTTCAATGTCAATGTTAGGAAGAAAATTATGAACAGTTTCAGATTTAGTGAGACCTAATACCAACGAAGTTCATAGGGATAATCAGATTAGGCAATGTGGCGGATTCTACAAATCGAAGCAACGATGTGATCTTGAAATGGGCGATGAAGTGATAGTGCGGGACTACAGGAAGTGTAATAATAAATCATGGTTATATGAATTATTATCATCGAAGTGGTTGGGGAAAGGATTTACTAACGTAAACTGAATGATAAGGAAGAGACATTTGGATCAAATCAGATTTGTTCCTAAAGAAGTTGCCTCCAAGGAACTAACTCCATCATTTTCTCATCAATCTACGAAAGCGCTGAACGGACATGATACTTTTTTTATAATTGCCAGTTTGAACTGGCAATTAGCAATAATTGCCAGTTTGAACTGGCATTTAGCCATAATTGCCAGTTTGAACTGGCATTCAGCTATAATTGCCAGTTTGAGCTGGCAATTAGCCATAATTGCTAGTTTGAACTGGCAATTAGCCATAATTGCCAGTTTGAACTGGCATTCAGCGATAATTTTCAGTTTGAACTGGCATTTAGCTATAATTGCCAGTTTCAACTGACATTCAGCTATAATTGCCAGTTTGAACTGGCAATTACCCATAATTGCCAGTTTGAACTGGCATTTAGCGCTTTCGTACGAAAGGACCCCGCAAATGGAATGTCACAGTTCAAGCAATGACAGCTCTGTCTAATAGATGCCTATTACTTGAGAGGAAATCAGATGGCTACAAGAAGAAGAAATCAAGAATGTCGCTGTTATCTGTCACAGCCGTAGAAAAATTATGGTGTATAACTCGCAGAGAATGCTAATTTCTCACTCGAATGATTGCAGCATTATTTGCCTACGGCTCATGCTGCAAATTTAATTCTCGGGGAAAATCACTAACATTCTGTTCTTGTTGAACAATATACTATAGGTCTCTAACGACACAGTGGAGTAATTGAATGCCAATAATTCATTATCAGTCCACTCGCCCTTTGCGTTGGTCGCAATAATCGTTCGCCTTCGCATTAGTTTTTTGGCGTCACTAGATGACGATAACATGACTTTAATAATTTCATTTCATTGGTTTTCAATATTTTACTTCACATCATCAGTTTCTGCATTGTATAACTGATTGTCATTTTTCACTCATTAGTGTAACCATCTTCGCTAGATGTTAAGTAAGAACAATTTTTTTTGTAGATCAACTTTATTAGTAATATGACTGATGATGACAATCCGTATGGTCGAAACATGTCTCAATCAAAAGTAATGTAGCAGAATTAACTGCACATTTTGCCAGTAAACTTGTGGAGACGACTTTGAGTTTTTTTTTCTCGTTGATCATCCTCCTCCACTTCGAGTATGTACTACTTCAGATTTTTTTTCAATATTTTTGTTCCTAGATTTAGTGGTTGAAATCTTTTTATGTAATTATGGGACACCCTGTTTACGGGTAATTCAAATTCGATGGCCACCATTGGGATCTCGAAAACTATAGGAGATACGAAGATGGTTAAATTAGGGTAAAGTTGCGCATTCTTGTGACTAAAAATATACGGGATGGAGATATACGGGAAAAAACAGAAATTTTGTGGAATAATTTTTATATCTTCTGGCGTTATCCGTTGAATAAGATCAAAATTGATAGCACATTTATATGGCCTCCTCCATGTCCTCCCTACTATACGATGACATTTTCAGATTCACCATCCGACGTTTCATCTTTACGCCACCCTCATAAACTTTATTTTTCCTTATGGGCGCCATATTGGATTGGATGTATATTAACTTCGCAACCTCACAACCTCTGATATTTGAAAATAGTATATTGTGCAACATGTGGGTAAAGTTCAACTTTTTTCACGAGTGTGAAAGTTTGTGGCACGAGCCTGAAAGGCGAGTGATGCAAACACACGAGTGAGAAAAGTACTTTTCCCCACATTGTTGCACACTTTACTTTTTCTACAACTGCACTTATCCAAAGAATCCAAGTAACTTATTGGTATTCATTTTATGATGTGGCACTATGCCACATTGAATATTGTGACCAAAGAGTAGACGCCTTTCCTAGTTCCTCAAAGTATTTGAAAAAAGTACACTTTCCGAAAAGGATTTTATTTCTGTATTCCATAAATTTTTCGTTTATGCCAATTCATACTTTTTTCTTGAAATTTCCGGAAACAAATCCAATTTTCGCAGCTTTTTCCATTATCTCTGTCTCTGGCGGTGTATTTATCAAAATCGTCACATCTCGGTATTTACATCATATTATTATGAATTGTTGGAATAATATTTGATGGAAACTGCGCTTTCTATCAAAAGCACTAATGAGAACTACCATGAAGAATTTAAAAAACTTCTTCTTAAAGTTGTGACAACTATTCAAAGCTGAACAGCAGCCAATTAAGTTTTGGTCGATTTTTGTTGATTCTCCTTGGAAATGCATGTGGTGTTGGCAAAGTGCCGTGAGAAGAAATATTTCTCACAGTATGACCAATACATGGTTTCGAAACTAAGTTAGCTATGAAAAATGCGCTACTTTTCATAGCAGTAGTAGAACAAATATATTGTTCCTGTTGTTGGCCTTGACTCAGTCAAATAACAGCATAATTGAAGAATGTCGGTATGAAGGAAGAAGGGATGTGATCACTTCTTTGTATTCAGGAAGAAGGTAGAAACCTTGAGCAAATGCTGACAAGTTTATTGAGTAGTTTAATCATATCAATTTCTTCTTCGTTCAAAGAAATCATTTTACGTTCATTATTATTCTGAAAGAGTGACAGCAGACGTGCCAAACAAATCGATTATTTTGACAAGTGTTATTTGAAATAGTCAAGGCCAACTACAAAAACAATATTTTTTCCAAATACCCGAGGTTGTGGTGTTATACATCGTTGAAATCAGAAGAAAAATGCTTTTATAATTGATGAAAATCCAAAATGAAATTTATGTCATCGTATAGTAAGGAAAAAGTTACCATGTAAATGTGCTATCAATTTTTATATTATTCAACGAATAATGGCATATATCTCCGGAAATACTCGGAATTTATGAATTTTCTTGACGGCATATGGTTAGTCACATAAATAGCTTCGTATCTCCTATAGTTTCCGAGATGCCATGGTACCCCTCGAAGGACCCCGTACAAATCAAATGCAATTTTGATTTCTGTCAATTTACCTGAAATTTTGGGGGAATATAGTTCAAAGTGTGCTGGACAAAAGTCTCCATGGGGTCAAACGATTTCTATGAGTAGTTTTCGTGCTACGCTCTCGTGAATCCTCTGATGCTACGTATAGAAAAAACTTGACTAAAGGATCTACAAAGGAGGAACAGACGCACTTGTGATATATAGAAATCGAATTCAGGAATTCAGGAAGTTTGCTGATTAGTTAAGCTATAGTTCATTACTATATTTTAAATACATCAACATCTATCAACTGTCATGTCAATAATCATATCACCTGTTCTTTGCGCTACTCAAGTCCAACGAACATGATGCTACGTATAGAAAAAACTTGACTGAAGGATCTACAAAGGAGGTACACACGCACTTGTGAGATATCCAAATCGAATTAAGAAATTCAGGAAGTTTGCTGATTAGTTATGCTATATCTCATTACTATATATTACATACATCAACATCTATTAACTGTCATATCATTAATCAAATCACCTGTTCTTTGATCTTTGCGCTGCTCAAGGCCAACGAACGTGGACGTGACAGGTACTTTGGCCTCTTTGTATGATCCTGTATACACAAACACCCACAATGCACCCACGCAACCACACCCACACCCACACCCACACCCACACCCACACCCACACCCACACCCACACCCACACCCACACCCACACCCACACCCACATCCACATCCACAACCACACCCACACCCACACCCACACCCACACCCACACCCACACCCACACCCACACCCACACCCACCTAACCTGAATTCGATTTTGATATCTCACAAGTGCGTGTGTACCCCCTTTGTGATTAGAATATTGGTGGACGATGATTTAGTCAAGTTTTTTCAAAACGTAGCATCAGGGATTCACGAGAGCGTAGTACGGAAACTACTCATAGGAATCGTTTGACCCCATGGAGACTCTTGTTCAGCACACTTTGAACTACTTTCTCCCGGAATTTCAGGTAAATTGACAGAAATCAAAATTGCATTTGATTTGTGCGGGGTCCTTTGAATCACCTGGTACTATTTTGTAATTCTTAATATATATTATTGAATAGGGTATATTTTTTTCTCAATCGAATATTATGGTGTCGTAGACGTCAATGCTTCATTCAGGAATGATACTCCGGATGACAACGAAATCATTTTCCAGAGCGTCATTCAGCTGTGAACTTTTGAGTCTTTCGACATTTGGATCGGAGACATGGTTCCTTAAAACCCATTTTTCCCATTCAAGAAACAATTGAATAAGAGAATAATTGAAAAAATCATATATATATATTCTTAAGACTATTCGATAGAGCAGAAAAATCCCTTTTCAACGACATATCAATAGTGGACATTTGTTTTTGAAATGGGGACATAGCAACTCTGTGACGTCATTGATCGTATTTTCGTCAAGCATTTATCTGTAGATACTTACTAATAATATATTATTGACAGTAATTGCGAATTGAAATTGAAAACTAATATTTCTGAATAAAAGTAGAGAGCTTACTTCGGATTTTCCATGACCTCTTTGATGGCATTAGTCAGAGACTCTTTGGTTATTCCTTTTTTATCTAACTTGACTCCATATCCTCTCTTCACCATTTTATTCACATTGGATAATTGATCTCCGAAAAATGGGATGCCTATCAGAGGGATGTCATTTGTGATAGCTTCTTGAAGGGATTGGAGACCACCTTGTGTTATGAACAGCTTCACATTCGGATGCCCTTCAAAGTATAACTTTTTCTTCATCAGATTGAAACGTTGAGTAGTAATGATAATGTGATTAAGATGTAACTATACTTACTCAAAATATCTTGTTGTGGCATCCATTTCTGGACCAAAACATTTTTGGGAACGTCAGTCAAGTTAGCATCTAATTTCAGCAGAACGTGGTAAGGCAAGTTCGCAAAAGTATCCAGTAGGGCCTTCTTGAAATCTGGATTCAATATATTGGCATTCACATTACTACCCAAGCTGAAGTAGATTGCACCACCTTTTGCTTCATCAAGGAACGTTTTCAGATTCTGGAAGAACAACCAATTCAAAAATATGTTCGAGATTGCATTGATTTCTAATAACTTTTGTCAAAATCTTCTCCTTTTATTTGTTATTGTGGAAATTGATTCTTTATTACTCAATATTCTGATACCTACCTATCCCAACCATCTAGTGTATACTCACTTGTGTTAAACCACGTGGTTCTTTGATATGTGTCCCGACAATGGTTATAGTGTTAGGATTCAGAGGCCTAATATTATGGAAAATGGGATGAGTCCCAATGAACACCATACTCAGATTGCTCTGAATCTCCAGTAGATCAGGTAGATCATCCCCGAAATAAAACTTCGCTGATTCGTACTGCCGCTTGAATGTCTTGTTATAAATATAGTATTTGTACAGGACAGTGTACGCGAAGCTAATGACTCTGTCCTTGAAGCTCATCGTCGCCACATCCTCGATGTTCAAGTTGTTATCAGGATTGACCAAGGGATGCACTAAGTTACCCATGGAGTCATGATACTGCATGCCACAGTCCATCGAAGTCAGAGCTATGACGGGGCATTGAAACCTCCAACCGAAGGCTAACATACCAGGTAGCTGAGCCTCCACCAAAACCAAGTCGAACTCGATGTTCTTGTTATGGATCAGCTCCTGGACTTCTGGGGAAGATAGTTGAGCTTCCTGGGACTCCTTCAAAGCCAATGCCAAACCATCTGCTATTTCGAAATAACTCTTGGTTTCGTTACTAAGCAGTGACGATATATTGTGATTTCTGTATATGTCGTAGGTGTAACTCATATCAATTTCTTTCAGCTTGGTTAGTGATTTGTTATTCTCTGGATCGGTGGTCATTACTGTGACTTCATGGCCTCTGGCAGCTAATTCTCGCCATAAAGGTTGAAAGGGGGCTTGGTGGCTGTAGGAAGCTGTCGGGATTATGCCCAATATTTTTGCTGATTGGAATTGTGGAGTATAAAGGATCAGCAAGAAACATAACGAAAGCATGGTCATGCTCTCCACCTTACTGATTCCATAAATAATATACTTGAAATGAATTGCTATCTAATCTCATATTATTGGAGATAAATATCAGTTACAAAGATTCAATCATTCTTGCTATACATGGAGTAATATTTCATTTAATGACACTACTACTTTATGTGAATTGATTTTCAAGGTTGCTTGACTTGATTTTGTCGATATTCATATCTTTCATTGGATGAAATCTTGTACTTACGTTGGATAAAATTTCAGGCTTCCTCAGATGAATTCCAGACCCTATGAAAATAGTATTGGCATGAACTGGTCTGAGATTGTGGAAGATAGGATGAGCACTGGTAAATAGCATGCTCACGTTGCTCTGAATTTCACTTAGGGAAGGCAAGTCTTCACCAAGGTATTCCCTACTGATCGCAGTCAGACGTGGTAGTTCGTTTTTGAATTCATGTATGTACGCATTACGATATATGAAACTAGAGAATCTTTCAAAGAAATTCAGATTTTCAAGGTCGGCGATATCCAGATTGCCGTCTGGATTCAAAACAGGGTGCACAGGGTTGCCAATTGCCAGGTGGTATTGCAAGGCTGGATCCATTGACGAAACTCCTATCCATGGGCATCGATAATATCCTATCAAACCCAAAATGGAAGGAAAATGTGCTTCTGCTATCACCAAATCGAACACTCGATTAGTCCTCAGAACATTTTGCACTAGTTTGCTCTTGACAAGATGATAGGTGAGTTTAATGGTAACGCTTTTGAGGTAGAGGCCCAGATCGATGAAAGTTTCGGCATTTTCTGCGAGTTTGTCGTAGAATCTCAATTCTTTGAAGAATTTTCGCACAGAATCCAGGTGAACCTCGGTTAGATTTGTTAAAGATTTGTCGTTGATAGGATGGGTTGTTAACACTACTACCTGATGACCTCGCAGTGATAACTCCTTCCACAATGGTTGGAAGACAATTTGATGACTGAAAGAAGAAGTGGGCATTATACCCAAAATCTTAGCACTTTCACATTCTGCTATCAGTATGAAACCCAACACAAACATAAATCGCTTTGTATGGTGAATTAAAATATCACAGTTTGGTGTCATTGTCGGCAACTCACTATTGTGAGAATGAATGGTTTGTGCCTATACATATTCTTTTAAGATAGGTAGGTATATAATGTGCAAATATTAATTTCATTTCTGTAACAATGCGTTATCTGAAGAAGGCTTAACTTCAGGTTTTGTTTAATATCCTGATAGCGTTTAATATAATTCTGAGTGATATTCAAAACTGACAGCATGCTGAACTTATACAGTGTGTCCCAAATTCGATCCTCACCAGTGGGATCTCGGTAACTATTAGAGATACAGAGTCGGTCAAATATCGAAAGTATCAGAAAATTCGAAATTGATTCAGAATCCGTTAAGAAATCTAGACTAGCTTCAGTCATTTTTGTGTTATTCAAGAAAAACTGAAATTTTGTATTTTAGTTCTCCTCGAATATCTCGAAAATTATTGATTGTATGATAAAACGACTTCAACATTCTTTCAGTAACTCTCAGTGATCTTTAGTATGGTTTTGTCAGAATTTGTTAAAACTGTCACTTCTGAGATATTACTTCCAACTTATTATTTTCCTTTTGTTCCAAAAACCGACAAAAGATCACTATAAAAAGTACCATCATAATGTTGAAGTTGTCTTTTCATACAATCAACAGTTCAAGAGATATTCGAGAAAAACGAAAATACAAAATTTTTGTTTCTCTTGAATGAACTCAGAAATGACTGAAGCTAGTCAAGATTTCTCGACGGAATTAACCGGCTCCCTATCTTTCACAGAGATCCCAATGGTGAAAATCGAATTTGGGAAACACGATATAAAAAACATCATATTAGGTAAAACTTGGTCTCACATTAGCCCAATATTCGAATATTGAATATGGAAATACTTGATTGTCCCAATATCTAACCAATTGTTCATTTCAATATTATATCATCAATCCAGTGCCAATGTTGTGGTATAACATTAAAATTTTGTGACCAGCCGATATCAATTTGCCAATATTTATTTGATATTGGTGAAATATCATCGACTACAATATGTCAATGTTAATGATGGATGAAATTGTATTTTCAAAATCGAATCAATCTTGGAAAAAATATCGCATCAATATCCGATTTATGATGGTGACTGAATATTGCATTTTATTGTCCAGCAATATCGCACTGATATTGGCTCTTTGATATCCAATAATCCATCCAGTGTCAATGTTGTAATAACATCAAAATTTTGTGACCAGCCGATATCAATTCGCAAATATTTATTTGATATTGGCGAAATAATAAAGAATAAAATATGTCAATTTTCATGATGGGCTGATATTGTATTTCCAATATCGAATCAATCTTGGAAAATAATATTGCATCAATATCAGATTTATGATAGCTAGTGAATATTGCATTCCATTGTCCAGCAATATTGCACTAATATTGACTATTTAATATCATTTCGATATTCAATAATCAATCCAGTGCCAATGTTGTAATAACATAAGAATTTTGTTACCAGCCGATATTTATTCGTCAATATATATTCGATATTGGCGAAATATTAACGATTACAATATGTCAATTCTCATGATAGGCTGCGATATTGTATTTCCAATATCGACTCAATCTTGGAAAGAAATTTTGCATCAATATCAGATTCATGATGGTTAGTGAATATTGCATTTCATTGTCCAGCAATATTGCACTGATATTGGCTTTATAATATCAATTCGATATAATGAGAATGATATCACATCTATACCATTTCTGAATTGATTTCAATATCGAATCAATATTATTAAAATAATATTCCTCCTATATTATGTTCGAGATTATTATTGAATTTTGCATAATATTTGCTACGAATATTATTTTCATATTTGTATTCATTATCAAGCCTATATAAGTCCATTCATATAAGACCCATTTCAGATAAATATAACTAATGAAATATGTCAGAACCAATATTGCACTGATATCGGTTTTCTGATATCAAATCGATATTATTAATATTTATTTCGTTATTTGAGCGACGTTATAACAGCTGGTGCCACTAGCACGTCTCCAAAAAACGACTGCTCAGAGGGATCAAATACTGCCGTATTCGTTTCACTTGGTATTCTGGGATACAGAGAATTTTTTTTATCGCTTGGAGCGCATGAAAGGAAATCCCTATACTTAATGTTCAAAGAACATCGTGATCTTATTAGACCAATATCACAATTTTTATATGAGGCAACTATGACTTCGAATTTCGAATTTGAATTTTGTAACGAAAACGAAATACAATATTGATAGAATATTATATTTCAACATGAAGATAATATTGCAAAATGATCACTTCCTAATTTTGGCCAATATAGTAGGCAAATAGAAATTCAATATCGAATTTACATATGAGAATTATAAGAAACCGATTTCTATGAGTTGGCATATCTTTTTCCACTTTTGTATACGAATATAAACTTGATATTGGATAGAGAATATCGAAACAAGACTTGGATTTAACATAGCACCAAAATTCCAGAATGTTCACATTGATTTATTTGTCTGATATTTGAAATCAATATTTTCCCAACATTCACTCTCTATTGGTTCAATATTCAACCAATATTGGTGTTCTACCTGAGAAGGCAGTAAATTCCTCAAAAATATATCAATATAACGATTTTTGAACTCTTACATTTTGGTTGACTCTTTGAAGTCGGATTTTAGAGATGAAATCAAAAGCTTATCAACAAGTATTTATGAAATAAGACTATTATCATTCATAAAAAACTACTTCAAATTGTTTGAGAGTAGCGTAATATGGTATATTTCATTCCACAATAATAAATGGTATACTCTTTCGAGGGGGCACAACAAATGCTTCTTACATTTATAAATTATCAAAAAGAGTGATACGTCGTGTTATGGGTGGGTGAGGCTAAATGGGATGATCATGATGCTAAGCCCCTTTCAAGAAGATGACAATAGCAGGAACAACTGTTGAACTCGGAGATACTCATGATTATCTCAGAAGATCTCGGACATTGCTGACATTGCCAAGATTTAGACTGCATGGCACTCATTCATCTTATTTATATATAGGTTCTACAAATTCTTCGACTGTTTACCATTGGAGCCCAATAGCATATCTCTGAATAAATTCAGACAAACTTCCAGGGATGTTTTTACTGAAAAATGTTTCTATTGAGGCCAAGGGTTCTTCTCTCACTATACTGGGAATAAACATTCAAATAATATAGTTGTGATTGTAATTTATATTAATCTCATTTTGTGTGTTCATTTGTCTATCTTGTAATTCACATTTCTATCGGGTGACACAGGGTATCGTACCTTCTGCAATCGTAAACGGATTCTTCTGTTTGGTACAGTTATACTGGGTGTTCCTGGAAGGTATGTACAAAATGATACCATAGACTACTGAGACCAAATAGTGAAATGATTGAACCAAACTTACCTTCGCTTTTGTTTGTGATTTATATTGATGATCTCTACAACTATATGAAACCATGTCACAGTGTGTTATTTGCTGATGATACATTTCTCATTTACTCTTCAAAAAATCTTTCACCCGTTATCGTGTTCATTTGTCTATATTGTACTTCACGTTTTCAATTCGGGAGAGATTTTCAATGGTGTGTTTATGGCTGACCTGAATAAATATATTAATTTCAGAAATGCCCAGCAAATACAAAAGAAATTGCCCTGATAGGGGTAATTGGACCAAAGAAGCTTTAGAAGCTGCTCCGCAGAGAATAGGAAACTAACAATGATGCAACCTGTACTGGGTGTGCTGAAGAGTACACCAAGACAACCAAATCCGATAACTGGCTCCAGTGCATCCATTGTGAGCATTTGGCAGCATGATGAGTATACAAAATACCCAAAAACATGCGAAATCTGTGTGAAACTGCTCATCAAGAAGAAAAAAGTGTAGATGCATCCCTACCTGAGATCCTTACCTTAAGCTTGCGGCATCTCTTCCGTAATATTAGGTAGAGATGCCGATTTATAGAGTGTGCGAGAATTTTGTTCTATTGTTGATTGCATTTAGTTCAAGAAATAATGATTATGATTGTGTCTTGTTTACCAAATGAATATTACATCCGATAGCCTCAGTTTCAATTTACCTAATTTTTATTGTGAAATTAGTACATCAAAGAGATGTGAAGAATCGGCATCTCTCCCGGAATTACCCTAAATTGAAAAATGAATACTGGGTGTCCCATTTAAGAAAACATGAGCTGTTTGACATAACTCGTAAACGCGATGTTAGATTTTTGTTTCGTTTTCATCTTCGTGATCAGCGGGAAAAATACTACTTGTTTGTCCATTTAACCGACTTTGTAACAATACTTACCAACCTACTTTAGAAGTCCATGTTGTCTCAAACTGGAGTAATAATACTCCAAGTCGTCTCCACAACGTTCAATATCATCAAATTATGAATGGAAAGGAGGAAAGCAACAATAATAGGGTATCAATGGTGAAACATGGTAGTACTCACGTGGAGAGGAAGAAAAAATTTGAATTACATGGAGTTACAAAATAGTTTTATGGAAATTTAAAACAGAGAAAATAAGTTTTTTGTGTTATAACAGGTTTTCTAAACAGAGGGGCCCTGTGCCCCGATAAGCCAGTGAAATCGCCACATTAGGAGGCCGAAAGACATCCGAAAATGAAAAACGTTTTCATTTGGATATCGCTGGATTAACCTCTGATAACATGTGTGTTTTTCACAGATACATGATTATTTCATAGAAGCAGCTTATTGTTTATATCAAGAATGTAGTTCAATTGAATAAACAGTATCAATCCAACAACAAAATATATGGTTATTTCAAACAAATTATGTTTATTCAAAATAATGTCGATGTTGATTCAACCATACACATTTTGTAGATTCGATGAATCGATGATCATTTTGATAAGAATATATATCTTTTAAAACAACATACAAGATTTCTTATTCCGATGTAGCAAGGAACTCGTTTCGAACGGATCATTTGCTTGAATAGAGCATTAAAATATATAATATCAATGAAATATTCCGTTCATTCAACATCGAGTTGAATTTTAGCCACTAGATGGCGATCTTTTCGCCTCGTCTATGCCTGCAATGAATTCATTATATGTTTACGTGAAGTCTGATTCTACGTGATGTTTGAAATATTAGCTGGTTAAATCGAACAGATTTTCATTCTACGATGTGAAATTTCCGAAAATTCCCGAATCAACACTAACAGGATTAGGTTCAACAAAATAGTTTGAAGAAGTGGATTACAGTTTCTCTTGGATCAACGAAATATTCCATTGAATCAACCAAATATTTAATTGAATCAATATCTTGTCAGTTGGAATCGACCAAAACGGTTGTTTGAGTCGATTCAATATCTCTCCACCAACGATTCATGGATATGCTCGATTGAATACGATCCAGAGTTCATGCAAGACATATTTACTTGACTCAAACTCGAAATAGGCTCTGAAACAAGATATCGATTTACTCATGTCAAGATTATATTTTGTCGTGCATGTAACACTTTTATTTGCTTCATTCAAGTGAATTTTGCTTGATTCAACGATTTTTTTCGTGTAGCTGTCTCCTCAGTAGGGGTGGACAAATTCATCGATATACCTATAATCATCGATAATATCGATGAAATCGATGATATCATCGATGATATCGATGATATCATCGATGATGTCGATAATATCATCGATGATGTCGATAATATCGATATTATCGATTAGATAATATCATATCTATCTATCTATATATCTATCTATAATTCAAATTAGCCATTGTGCAGTCCAGATCTAAATCCAACTGAAAAATTGTTTGAAATCCTTAACGATGTTGATGGGTTGTTTACAGGAATAAAAATTAGAAATGAAAGTAGGTGCTGAAATACACAAAGTTAACTGATTATGTTCCAGTCAGTTCTAATTGCTGAATGATATCGAATGATAAATTATGTCAACGGATGTTGTGATATGATTACATCCCATTCAACCACAGAGGTTAGTGATTTATTTCGGTTTCCGCATTTTATGTGAATATAGTTCCTTTTGTTTCTACCATATTATACAGAGTGTAACATAAGTAGGTTTGAATATTCAAGTGACGTATTCTATAGAACATTTTGAAAAAAAAAATCTACAAACTTGTTTTCCATTCTTGAATTAATTTTCTAGAGGCCACTGCGTACGCTGTCATTAATCATTTCAAATTGCCCCAACATTTTTTATAGTAAACTTTTGGCATTTTTCATGGAAAAACCTCATTTCCACATCTTTTTCGAGTGAAAAAAGGTACACTTCCTCAACAACGCTGGAGGTGATCGTTTTGAAGATATTCACAATTTTTTCATATCGATGCATGGTACTCAGCTCCTAGGACGCTAAGTGAAGTTGCTGAGAACTTTACCAAACTTAGTATGTGGTAGGTCTTGTTGAAGTGAACTCTTATTCTGCTATGGAATGTTAATCAGAAAATGATTTGTTCTCTTCATTTCAATATCCTATATCTCTGAAATGAAGCATTCGCGGACAAAAGTTTATATAGACTTTTTCCCTTGAAAGTGTCTCAGGAATACTTTACTCAAATATTTCAACGTACTAATGTTACACCCTGTATGTTTGATTCTTGAAATAGTATATTGTTCAACGAGCACGGAATGATACTGATTTCCCACGAGAATGAAGTTTGCAGCATGTGTAGTAGGCGAATGCTGCAATCATTCGAGTGGGAAATTAGCATTCTGTGCGAGTCGAGGTTCGTATTATACACTATAATTTTCCTACGGCTCTAACAGATAACAGCGTCATTTTTCATTCCTTCGTCTTGTAGCCATCTGATATCTTCTCAAGTAATGCTCTCATTGCTTGAAATTTTACATTCCATGGGCGATGAGATTTTTTTGAAGTAATAACACAATGGAGTCATTGTGATGTCAGATACGGAAATAAAATTGAAGATACACAAAGTACCTCATTGATTTATCGAACACAGAAAAGCAAATGCAATTTTCTGTTACAGCCGTAGAAAAATTATAGTGTATAACTCACACGTAATGCTAGTTTCCCACTCGAATGATTGTAGCATTCGCCTACGGCTCAAGCTGCAAACTTCAATCTCGCGGTAAATCAATATCATTCCATGCTCGTTAAACAATATACTATTTTCCGATAGTTCTTTAGAAATCAATCGAAGATAAATGCATAAAATTTTATTGCAGCTTCTTATTTGAATTCTGATTATTTTTGTTCTTGAATACAAGTCTTTTCAACAATTTGAGAATCAGCACTATAATCGTAACTAATACCAGCAGACCAGTCAGCAACAAACCAATAACATCCAATAGATAGAACTGGTACCAATGCAAATCTATTGCTGGATTCCTAAGATGCTTAGCTCCCTTGGAGCGTATACAATATTCCGTCCACCAAACTGCTCTCTCCAGTCCTGACATGTCAACATCTTTAGACGAATTCGAAATTTCTATTACATTCTGCTTGTATCTGAATCAATGGAAAACAATAATTTGAACAAAGTTATGCATTTGGCAGAAACTACAAGAACTTACATGGGATTATTCAAAACTTCCAATACAGTTTTTTTGAATTCTGTTTTCGTCAAATTCATCCTATCCACAGTCAATCCAAGCCCTTTACTCCTCAAAATTATTGCATTGCTGTGCTGGTCCCCCATGAAAGGCATCCCAACCATTGGAACATGATTGAAAATGGCTTCTTCCATTGATTGAAGTCCACATTGAGTGATGAAGAGCTTCACATTGGGATGAGCTGAAATTTCAGTCATTGAAGGATGAGAAACCAGCAAAAAAGTATTCGCGGTAGTCAAGGTCATCATCTGACGTTACGATGACATGAAAACAACTTTCAATCTGAGCCAGAAATTAGGAATGTTTTTCCGTAGTTTCTATGTCATTGCAACGTCGTCAGATGATGACCTTAACTACAAGTTCGACATTTGATGTCGATGTAGAGTATGATTGATAAATACCTAAAAGATCTTGTTGAGGCACCCATTTTACTAACTTTACATTTTTTGGAAGATTCTGCAGTCCATCGTCCTCAAATTTCCAGAGAATTTTATAGGGCAGCTCCTTCAGGGTCGACAGCATCGCTTTTCTCAGATCATCTGTGAGTAAAGCACTCTTTATATTGGACCCCAAACTCAAATAGATAACACCGTCCTTTGCAGCATCAACAAAATCATTGATTTCCTAAAACAATCAAAGCATTAGTATGGTAGGCGATTGATGCAAGAAAGCTAGTACATAAATTCGTCAGTAGAAGGGCTGGCAAATCAAAAAATCTTTGATATTGGAGTGCAAAATTGGGAACGACATTTTCCACATCACTTCGGGTATTACTCAGACAATATTGATATTTATTTTCAATAGCACAGCGTTGTATCTTCCAACCTGATGACGTAATTTTAACGATCTGTCAAAGTCGAAATTATGTGATGGTAATTCTCCTAACAAGTGCGGAAAGTGATACTTTCTCGCTCTGCGTCGTTCGGGCAAGCAGTCGAGTGCGGGAAAGACATTTTCCGCATGAGTTAGGAACTAGTAAATTTCCTAACAAGTGCGGAAAGTGATATTTCCCGCACGCGAATGCCGTTGACCCGAACGACGAGACACTTTCCACATCAGTTGAGAACAATATTTTTTCTAGAAGCGTAGGAAATTGATTGATTTGTTCAATCAATTATTCCTGCAATGAGCACTTTGCATCAAACAAGATTGGGGAAAATCGAGTAGGTCATCTTTTGACAGTCAAAATGTGAAACAAGCATGTATGTATTTTAATCGAGATTTCAATACTGTTCCGCTGTCAACAATTATAAGGACGTTATATACCTTGGTAAAATAAGAAACATTTCATTTTTTTTGTCAATTGTTATTCAATTCAATTATTGATTGATCTTGTTTTTAAAGGTGAAGCGTGAAGCGACCTAATATGGACCGCCATTTGTCTAGTGCTGATCGCCATAGAGGAAAGCGAGAACACCTAAGCGGAAGCGTTGATTGATATATTACGCGTAATATATCAATCAACGGCGGAAGTGAAGAACGGAAAGCTGCCGCTGAGAAAGGGAAGAAGACTCAAGAAGTGTTAGCTAAATCACGTCGTATGAATGATTTTTTTACTACACCATCTATGACAAAGAGTGATGTTGCCCCTACTTCTCACTCCGCATTTCGGTGTGCAATCCCACTGCAGGAAGATGACTCATCTGCAGAGAATTGAAATAATATGGTAATCGCTTACAAAATCCGTGAAAATTTTTTGAGCGAGATACCTAATCTGTAGATGTTTATATTGGATTTGTACAGTATACACAATGTGTAATTATAATAGGAATGCAAATTTAAAAACTTCTCTTCTAATTATTTCTTTTAGGTGCCAGAAGACGCGCCTGCGACATCAACAGAAGAATCCACTGAAGCTCTGGAGCATCTGTCTGACAACATCTGTGAAAGTTTCAACTTGGAAAAAGATATTGGCCTGTGGCCTATAATTTCAACTCCTGTACCATTGATTGTTGTATCAAAATGGACATCAACTCCCTTCAGTATTGCAACGAGGAGCTATTCGATAAAAAATCAGCCCCGCAATGTTATACCGAGTCTGGAAAACCTAGTATATTTATAGAAGGAAATGCAAGAAAAGCTTTTTCATCCGAAGAACAAAAAACGGTGAGGCAAAAAAACGCTGGTGGTTATGTTTTTCTCCAAGCAAAGGGAATCTCTTCTGTTTTCTATGTTTCCTCACCCGTACGTTCACAGTTCACCCATAACGGCTCTTGTGATTGGAGAAATGCCGTCGCACGATTAATTGAACATGAAACCTCTAAAAACCATTTGAAGGCTTCAATCGATTATACTGGACGATCCCAACTAATTTGTCGCATAGATCGAGAACTGGCGGAGCAAATGGACAATGTTAAGTATTGGCGAGAAGTTCTTAAAAGAGTGTTGCGAGTCATAGCTCTTCTCAGCGAAAGGAGATGGGCATTCAGAGGGGCAGACGAAACTCTCGGATCTCCTAACAACGGCAACTACCTTGGAATGTTAGAACTTTCAGCTATTTTTCTAAAAGAACATATAAAAGAACATGGCAACCGCGAAAGTGGTCACACAACTACTTGTCATCCACGATTTGTGAAGAACTGCTAAAAATTTCAGGAGAAGCGTTTAAAAAACTATTGATTGAGTGAAAACTGCAAAATATCTTTCAGTTTCTCTGGATTCGACTCCTGACGAAGGCCATGTTGACCAATTGACGTTAGTGGTTCGGTTTATTGAAAGGCATGCTCCTCTTGAGCGTTTTCTCATTTTTATGCCTAACCAGGGTCATAAGGCGAAGGATATGTATGAGGGCTTGATTAATATTCTAGACCAAAACGAGCTGGACCTGAAGAACATTCGTGGACAGTCGCAGCCGCTTGGGTGCCATGCGTAATCTTGTCATACAATCGGCGGCCAGTTGTTGTCTCAGTGCAATAAGTTTCTTCGATTTTTCAGAAGAGCTGTATGTTTATTTTACGGCTTCAACTAACAGGTACAATACAGTTAGTCGCTGTTTAAAAGAAGCGAAAACTGACCAACCTATTCTTGTGCCGAAAAGACCGACAACAACTCGCTGGTCATGACAAGTTGAAGCCACTAAAGCACTCTTGCGGGGCTATGAAGGTTTATAAATGCCCTCGAAGAAATCATTGACGACGAAGAAGACACAGCTAAATCAAGAGCAATAGCTGTCGGTTTGCATGGTAGGATGGCAAAATTATAAACAGCTAAATACAGCGAAAAGCCTACAAAATCCTAGGTTGGACTTGAATACTGCTGCAGCACTGCTTACTTCATTGAAAGCAACCATCGAAAATAAAAGAGACAGTTTTAATGAATATGAAGTGAAAATTTTCGAGCTAGTTGATTGCCGAAACTACGAAGAAGAAAAAAGGAGAAAAACTAAAATAAACGTCCGGTTGTCCACTTTAGATTGCCCGCAAGCTTCGGAAGTTCATTTATCACCCTAGGACAATAAATTCATGACTCAAAGCTACTTCGCAGTTGTCGATCAGCTCATGGCCGCTCTACAGAAAAGAATGGACGCGTACTCACTTTTGAATGAACGATTTGGATTTTTAAAAAATTTAACTGCTATTTCTGATCAAGAAATTTTGTCTGCCAGCCAGAGCTTGGTGAAAACCTCTTGCTACGACGTAGATGATTCTGTTTGCAACGAATTCATACATTTCAAACTATTTATAGTTCAGTATGAAGAACTTGAACTGAAGAGAAGAGATTGCCTATGAGAAATGGATGTATGAATTGTTGTGTAAAAACAATGTTTAAGAGTGTTTTACCAACGTTGAGGTAATTCTGAGAATTTATATCACTCTAATGGTGACAAATTATACGGCTGAAAGATCCTTCTCAAAACTAAAGCTTATGAAAAATAAAATCCGAAGTTCCATGACCGAGGACAGAATAAATGTTTTAACTCTAATTCGTTTAGAGATTTCGACGATATTATCGACACTTTTTGTGTTAGCACATTCTGTATATTACATCAATTAATTAGTTCAACCATAAATATAACATACGAAAAATGAACATGAGAAATATAGTCAACAACAAATGCAAACTCAAACACGCGATATACTTGATATATACATGAGACAAATAGTCAGTTCATCGATTAATTTGAACATTTTGCTCCTCAATTCAATATGCGCCTGCAGAATACATCTTGTTTCAACGACAATATGGTTTCATTCGGCATTTTTCAAAAGTCATTGTACATTATGTTGATCTTTGTTATCGAACAAATAATACCTATTATTGTTCATAATGAAGTTCATCAACAGTAGAAATGAAAATTCCATTGTTCCAATTGAAATCACTTCAATCGATATGGCTCTCAATCGAAAATAAATCAGAAAGTAATTGATAACCTACATATAGATGAGTAAAACTGAATATTTTCATTCAAACGTGAAATTTACTTATAGGGCATAATTGAAGTGAAAAGTACCAATATCTAACGCCGAATGCGACCAAGATTTTACCCAATCATAAGGTGATGAATGAAGTAGCGACAACATCGTGAGAACCTCAGTAGTAACCATAGGCTAATTGCTACAGTGGATCTTCCTTGGAGAGGTAACCCTTATTACGAAAAAAAAATGATTCAAAGTTGCGAAGCCTAATGAGTAGGTTTGAGATATTCCGTTCGTATATTAAGCCATATCTAAGAGTTTCAGACTTTTTGAGTCAACATCTTGAGTAAAAACTACATAATTTCAACTTATTGAATAGCTATCACTGGCATTTTCTCTATGGAGTTATGTAATGAGTAATAATCAAGTATTTATGACTGCATATAGCTAATAGTTTCTTTAGCCCTACTGCCTGTAACTGAATATGCTATCGTTGACTTGGTAGAAAATCACCATGACTTGGGCGCAAAACTCACTAACCTTTATTATTCCAGAATTTTTTGGTATTTTCTCTCCTCGTCTCTATAAAATAAAAATATGAATACTATTTCGATATACGTGTAGTAAGGACAAATCAGTTGATTCGCCCCAAAATGTCACTCTGCGTTTATAGTGATTTTCCTAAAAAGTGCGAAAAGTGATACTTTCCCACACGCGAATGCCATTGACCCGAACGACGCGAAGCGGAGTTCGGGCAAGCAGTCGAGTGCGGGAAAGACACTTTTCGCATGAGGTTGGAACAATTTTTTTTTCTACAAGCGTAGAAAATTGATTGATTTGTTCAATCGATTATTCCTGCAAATAGGAACAACTAACAACAGTGATATATTCACTATCTTCTAATAATTAGTGATATATCTATCGTGTGTACCGTTTGAAGCATTATGTAGGTGAGCTCATTGCGGAAGTCATCATGCCCATGGTGTTTGGCCTCTAGGTTTCAAGCATTTCTAGGAAATGAGCCAAAAATACATCTTATTCTTCATTTGGTGTTTTCACTTTTTCACTATCGCACCATTCAATAAATCTCTTGTGATGCTTCTCATACCTTTCTTAAGTCTTCGTTGGCAAAAACTCATCTGTATCGCATCTGTAGCTGGAAGTTTTTCATCGCAATTCCACTGAATCATAAATGACAGTAACGCTCTATCTGTCACTCTGAGAATTACACTAACCATTGTCGTTCTAGATGACAACCTAGTTAGGTCATTAGTAGGCAGGAGCTATTATACCTCCTCGCACTAGGTCGCCAACTAGGTTTTCATTTAGATCGACAATGCACTAACTAATTTGTGTTTCGATTGACATGACAATGTTTCCCACATCAGATCAATTGAAGGCTATAGGGGGATTTATACAGGGTGTTAACGAATAAGTATCAGAACGGAAAACTGTAGATTGCTCATAAAAAATAAACATTTTTTGCTCCTTCGAAATTTTTCTCTGGGCTTCCGTTATCAAGATACAGAACGTCAAAAAATACAAAAAAATCTGTTTTTTGCTACTATCTCAGGAACCGTCTGAGCTACGGAGTTAAGCCTTCGTACATACTTCATTATCAATAATGACTACTAGGGCTCTTGATCAATTTTCTTGGAAATGTCAGTGGAGGAGAATCCAACGCCTCGTATGGGTTTAACCCTCCAAACATTTATGCCACTGGAGGAATTGTAATTTTCAAAGTATATTCTGAAGCGCCAATATCTTTCACACAAAAAACGTCTTCTTGTCTGAATGCTCTAAAGTGAACAGTTTCCGCGAAAAATAGCTCTTTATGAATAAAAACATACAAAATCCTGATGGTATCTCCAAAAATCGTCTAAAAATCCACTGGAAATAAACACCTCAGAACTGTCTAATAATATTGTTACGATTTTACTCTGGGTCCGTAATAACTTAACACTCGGTATAACACTTAAAATAATTTATTCTGAACACTACTATACAATAATCACAATACTCGTACTAAACACTTCCGATTCACAACACTTCTTCGATCGTTATTATAACGCTTCCAAATAAATACTTTTCTTCCTGTCCCTAACAACAACTATTTATACTACCTAATAAAACGTCTAGATTACACTCGAAATATCGTGAACAGGTCGATAATCTTCTCGAGTCATCTCAATAGCCGTCGATCCACTTCATTTCTATTCCAAGAAATACGGTTTATTTACTTCCGTAGCAGGTAGCTGGGATTGATCGCCAGGGTCGTAACAATATGTTCAATCAAATGTCAGGTTCTTGAGTATGCTGATCTCGATGCTGGTTTTCGAATTGTCAAGTTTATTGAGTGTTGTAAAGTGTGTTCAATTGAACTGAACATTTTTGATTTTTTGACGTCCTGTATCTTGAAAACGGAAGCCCGGAGAAAAATTTTGAAGAGGAAAGAAATGTTTCTTTTATTATGAAGAATCTACAGTTTTTCGTTGTGACACTCATTTATTAACACCCTGCATAACAATCAATTTATCATTTTTCAATATTCCTTCATTTTAAATAGTGCAATTTGGTGGATGATTCTGTACAAACTCACTAAATACTGCAACAAAAAACCTAAAATGTTCATATTGTGTCACCCACCACTCATATTTTGCGAGAATATTATATAAATATTTTTCCCGCACTAGTGTGGGAAAACTTTTTCCGCACCAGTGCGGAAAAATGACAATTCCCAAACTAAATTGAGTGCGGGTAAAGGGTGAATCACGCACGCTTGTAGAAAAAAGAATTTTTTTATCAGAGAGCCTGAAAGACAAATTCACTAGCTAGCAATTTGTATTGAAAAAGAATTGGAGAAGAGAAATGAAGGTATATAGAAAAAATATCTTCCACTCAGCTTTGGACGTTTTTCTTTCAGACTCTCTGATAGGAAAATTCTTCAAACGCAGTGACATTTTGGGGAAAATCATCTGATTTGTCCTTATTACACGTATATTGAAATAATATTCATATTTTTATTTTATAGAAACGAGGAGAGAAAATCCTAAAAAATCTGGAATAATGAACCTCCTCGATCGCTTATGAGTATTTTCACAGTAATTTTAACAACTCCATATATGCTGAACATCCTAAAACCTAACCTATTCGTTTTTGTTGAAAAACTGAAAGAGTTTCAAACCAACACATGTATTAAAATCCAGAGTGTTCAAAAACCTATACAGGAAAGTTAAAAAAAAGAAAGAAATTCATTGAATCAATGATTATTGAATACCAAAATAAGGAAATCTATAGGCCACATTTTTTTAAATGTTCGTCATCCCATTGTTATGTCAATAAATAAGATATTCAGATTAAGATATTTTGTACAATTAATGTAATCATAATACAATAATAAACATATTTTCGTTTGCTTTAATAGTATATCATGTAACAAGTGTTATAAACGTCCTCTTAGTAACGAGTATTTTAAGCACGAGTGAAGCAGAGCGGAGCGAGTGTTTAATAAACGAGTGTCTAGAAGAGTTTATAAACGCGTTACATACTATGCTTTTTCAACGAACTCCGAAAATTACATTAACATACCTGCTATTTCTGCTAACAAAATAATTCGAGAGGAATGGGAATTGAGAACATAATACATGCAACTGCCTGCAACCAGCGAGACACGTATAAATAAGTGATATGGGTTGTAGATGTGTCCCGTCCATTGCTTACTAACCTGTGTTTCACGTTTATTGTCATGCTAAGCGCAGAATGAATAAATTGTTCTCAAAGATGGATGCTTCATTTTTACACTTCTTGGAGATATGCAAGCACCAAAACATTCTCTTCGATTACACTTCCATCTACATTTCGCATATATTTTTATTGAAGAATTCTGATACAAACGAAAATTGTTCGAATAATTCTGATACAAAATTCGAAAATGACAGTTGACATTTCCTACAATTGGCAGGCCAGACATGTCCCAAATTACTGAAGCTGTGTTTAATGAACTGCGTTGCCATGGTAATGTGTTTAAGAAATCGTGTTGCCATGGTAACGTGTTTAATAATATTTTGAATAAATCACAGATCGTCAATCCGTGATTAATCGATCATTTAGCGTGGTACATATCCGTACGCTAAATGCCATTTTAGTTATGTGAGTAGAAAAAATAGCTTTGTATTATTCACCTATTAACCTACCCAAAATTATAAAAATAACGAATAAATAACAAGGCTCGGTGCCCAAAATGCAATTTTTGTAATGAAGACATTTTGGGTCGGTACCCAAAATGCATGTTGAATTAGTCCATTTATTGCCTCAGTGCCCAAAATGCAAACTCCCCCTCGATTAACCTACAGACAGTATTTCACTAACCTTACCTTCGGTAGAGGCTTGGGCTTCCCAATATGCGTTCCTCCTCCCATCAGAACCGTATTGAGCCCATGCGGCCTAATCGAATGGAATATCGGGTTCACATTGACAAACAAGAAACTCATATCCTTCTCGATGTCTCTCAGCGCTCTCGTACCCTCTCCGAAATGCCTCCTGACGATCAAGTCCTCGGAGGGGTACCTCACATAGTACTGGTAGTACCAATTGGCCCAGTTGAACGTCACGCTGATGGCTCTCTGCAAGAAGGTCAGAGGAGGTGTGAAGGGAAGGAAGTAATCGGGGAAAACAATGGGGTGCATGTAGTTGCCTATGGCATCGTGGATTCTGTAGGGGGCGTCCAGAGGGGTGATTCCAATGAATGGGACCTTGAACCTACCAGAGAGGAAATTTGGATCAAGGAACAAAGCCAGCTATCTCTAATATATCTACTGTACCTTTCTGAAAATGCCATCTGGATAGGATTCATCACCTCCACAATGAGCAAGTCAAAATGCTCGCTATTATTTTGGATCAGTTGTTTCACTTCGTGCTGTTCCAGCTGCCATTCAGCTGTTCGATCCAAAGCATCCAGATACAACTGGGCCATGGACATGAAACTCTTCCCTTCGTTTCTTCCTCTGGTGAGGATATCCGAGCTACCTTGTTCCTCCATGACCTTGTATGATCCACTTAGGTCGATTTGCTTGATGTTTCCGAGGTCTGGATCTTTCATGGGATTGGTGGTCAGCAGAGTTATTTCGTGCCCTCTTTTCGCCAGTTCCTTCCATAGTGGTCTGAATGCTATCTGATGGCTGTAAGACGGACTAAATACAGATGCCAAAATCCTGGCATTTTCTGAATATTTGAGGAGACCCAGAAGTGTAATGAAAAACAGTAATTTTATTTGCATTATGTTCTTGATAGTTGGTTTAGCAAATAAATGAACAAATGTTTTTGTTATCAATTTCTTATTATTTCAAGATTAGATTTGATCAATTATTCACTGTTTCGGAGAGCGATATATAGATAATAATCGCTGAACCGCTCATCAGAAAAAGTTACAGAGTAACCGTATCTTTCGTAGTTATTGAAGAGGAATTTTAAATGTGGAATGTAGTAGCACTTTCAATCTCGATGAATGATTATAGGAACGTTAGTTCCGTGGTTTATATACTATTTTCTGCATTCCAGTAGTCGAAAAACTGGAAATGAAATTATCGAGGAAATGATGAAATACAGTACTCTCGTATCCCTGCAGAATCAAAAGTGAATGCCAGTAGTCACTATTGATACGTGATGGATTCGAAGTGCCACTTTGGTCACGCAAATGACGGATTAAGATCATTTCTCCATTATTTCCCCTTACCCTTATGTACTCGTATTTACCGTTATTTCCCTGAATGCGAAACATGCCTTGTGTTGATAAATAATAAGTTTCAGTGCTTCAATTTTGTTACAAGATAAGTGATTTATATTTGTAAAGTCACGATTTGAAAAAATAATGCTGTTAATGTGGTCGGTTTTTGCTGAACATTTCATGACCCTCTGTCTCTTTCTGGTATTGATTGAGGATGTTCTCTTTTGATTCACAATGTATGCAAATACGAATGTCGATTATGTAAAAATATTCGCGTGTTGGTGCATCCCCATTCGAATTCTGCCTTCAATACAGCCCTTATACTAGAGCTATTTTGGAATGTCTGAAACGTATTAGTGTCTCTTTTGCGTGCTTGCTGAAATTTCAGCTGCACGCTTCGCACTGCCAAGCACCGGTTATCGGAGTTATCCTCAAACCTGCAACATCTGAAACATCTTTAGGTACATAGTCTTCAACTTATTACGGGTATTTTCACAAAAAAATGCTCGAAAGAATCTCATATTTGGAAAATAGTAATTGCACCATGTGTTTTACAGAAAAACTATAGCGAGATATCACCGACTTTCAAAATGTTGTCTGTTTCTAATACTGAAATCTCAAGAAGTTCGAATATACAGAAATTCAAATTTTGCTCACTTCTGAAGTTTTCCATACACAGTATTTACGATTCAACATCTCGAGACGGTTTTGAATTCATATTTCTTTCTGTTCCATTCGCATTGTCTCAACACCTAACTCACCAACCCACACCCATACCCATTTCATCAACTTCTGACTCATCATCAAACCAATAACCCATCAGAGACCCAACTCATTCACGTTGGTACCCATTTCAACCACCTATTTCGTAAACTTTCGACTTATCATCATACCAACCCATCAGAGACCCAACGCATTCACGTTGTGAGTATCCATTATATGTACCCATTTGGAAACATGGGTACGTTGTAGTTATTGGTTGCTGACGAATCGTTCCGTTGTTGAGTTGAGCATCGAAAAAATGAGTGATCAACGAGTTATCAGTTGTTGATGAGATTGGTGCGTTTATGAGTTAGATCGTCAACAAATCTTTCCATTGTTGAAATTGGCCATCGTAGCCTCGTCGTTGAAGCGTCAATGTTCTACCCACGTTGGATTACCGGTAGTGGGTTCGATTCCCACCACGACCGCAGAAATTTTTCTGATGGCCTGAGAAAGTGTTCGGAATCACAAGTTAAAAAGTAAGACCCCCGCAGTGCTGCCAATCGGCGGAGGATCCTCCGAAGAGGGGTTGTTTTTGGCATTAGAGTTTTTTTGGAGGAGGATTCGCAAAAAGCGGCGGAATCCAATAATTTCATAAGTCAACTTTAGTTGAGAATTGCACGCGCAACATGTAATCATGAATCATGATGGAATAACCCCGAACTAGTAGCAGTAGTAGCTTCGCGGTGAGTCCATGTGAAGTCAGAACACAGAATAACCAAAGACAAGAGCCCAATGCCACAGTTTCATTTTTTCTAACTTGAACGAGAGAGAGAGGAAAGTTCTCTCCTCTTCCATATTTCTCTTCAGTGCTACCAACGTGGCCGCCTTGAAATATAGAGAGGTCCGATGAATTTTTCTTTGTCTACCATCTACTTTGTGCCACTGAACTATCTTCCAATTCAGCAGAGTGTCAAATTTAACGATATTAACAAATTATGTCAAAATAAGTAAGAAATTCCATTTCAAAAATTCGAAATGTTATCAGTCAAAGACATTCATGACATAGACAAATCACGTCATCATAATATCGAAAATAGTTCAGTGGTTCAGACTAGATGTTAGACAAGGAAAGATTTATCGGACGTCTCTACATTTCAATGCGGCCACGTTGGTAGCATTGAAGAGAGAGATGGAAGAGGAGAGAGCTTTCCTCTCTCTCGTTCAAGATAGAGAAGAGCTCAATTGTTTCATAGAATGACATTTATTTCATTTTATAAACATGAGCCCAGAAATGCCCTCCTGAGGAGTCATCTGGAAGAGGGCCCAAGTTTTTTTGTAAATATTTCCGAAATGCACTGGCAGCACTGGCCCCCGTCATTCCTTGCTCGCACAAGTCTCTTGAAGACTTCTGAGGGTTGCTCGTGAGGGGGCAACCGAATGACGGATAAGAGCAACAATTTTATCTTATGACTTGGGTGTTGTTGTTTTGAGTGTGTTGCATTGGAAGGTTAGTGAATTTGGTATTTGATAAGTTAGGCGAAATTGGTGCGTTGATGAGTAGGGTCGTCAACAAATCGTTACGGTATTGGATTGGGTGTTGGGTGTGTTGTTGAGCTAGATGTCTGACGAGTTATTGTTTGTTGAAAAAATAGGTGCGATAATAATATTTTGGTTATTGGATTAGGTAGTATTGAGGAAATGAATGCGCTGGTAAATTTGGTAGTTTGTGAGTTGGGTGTTGTTCATTATGGGGCATTGGTAAGTTTCTAGTTGATGATTTGAGAATGTTGGTGAGTTAGATGGTTAGTGAAGTTGGTCATTGATGATGAGGTTTTTTGTCAATGTAATTGGTGCGATAATTATAGTCAGACCGCCAAGAAAACGTTCCGGTGTTTATTTATTTATTTATTTATTTATTTATTTCAACGGTTACACCATTTTTATAAAAAAAATTACAACAAAAATATGAATAATAATAGTAGGAACAATGAAAATTACACTCATAGAAATGTAGCACTTATTATATTAATCAGGTATTCCTAATTGTTTTCACAACATTAGTTTTGAATTTACCTAGACTGCCACAGAATAGGTCACAATGATTTTGAAGAACGACATAATTCCTTTGTAGCCTTGAAATAGGGTTATTGTTGCCATAATTCGTTGAGTGAAAAGTCAAGGAAAATAAAGGAGGATTTCTTGTTCTGGTCATTGTATTAAATCTAATCAAACTAAGCAGATCTGGAGAATTAATAAGGCCATTGACCAATTTATATAGGAAACACATATCCAACACTAATCTACGATTTTCTAAAGTTAGTAGATTAAGCTCCATTAAGATATCTGGGTAGTTTATATGAGCAACATGATAACTCTTGCGATATGAATATGTTCTCAGGAACCTTTTCTGAATTCGCTCTAAACTATCAATATGTATTTGATAAAAAGGCCTCCAAATGATGGAACCATACTCAAGTGAAGGTCTAACCAGATGGCAATAAAGTGAACTAAGTGTTTCAGGAGAGAATTGTTTACTGTTCCTAGTAATAAAACCTAAGTTCCTTGATGCAGTGTTCACTACCTTAGTAATATGACTTCTAAAAGTTAGTTCAATATCGAATATTATGCCTAAGTCCTTTATCTCATTGACTCTCTTCAATACAGAGTTATTTATTCTATAAGCGTTTTCAATATAATTATGACCCATTGAGAAAGTGATACAAAAACACTTTGAAATATTGAGGTCCAAGTAATTAACTCTAGACCAGACATGGAAGTTATTCAAATCAGATTGCAGCAGATCAATATCTATATGATGCTGAATTTCTTTAAATATTTTGAATTCATCTGCATATAACGTAAAAACAGAGTGAAAAATATATTTGTCAATATCGTTGACAAACAAATTGGAAAGTAACGGTCCACAATGAGAGCCTTGAGGAACTCCTGACAGTACTGGAATTACGTTAGATAAAAAACTTTTGATCCTCACCTGCTGTTGACGACCAACTAAGAAACTTTCAATCCATGCTACCAAACCAAGATTTATACCCATATCACTAAGTTTTGCTATTAATAAAGTATGACTCACCCTGTCAAACGCCTTTGAAAAATCGGTATAGATACTATCAACTTGGGTTTTATTCTCGAAGGCGTTCAACAGGAAGTTCTGATATGTTAAGAGGTTACTAATGGTAGATTTACCAGAGCAGAAACCATGTTGTTCAGTAATGATTATATTCGAAATTTGTGCTGGTTGGTAGTTTGTGAGTTTGGTGTTTTTGATTTGTGTGCGTTGGTATTGTTACTAGTCGACGAATGACGTGAGGTAATCTGGTGGATGTTCATGGAAGGACAGTTGATGGTGAACATATATGTATAGAGTCAACCGGACTATCTGAAATGGTCAAAGAAGCAACAAATCAGCACGATCCAGAGCTTGCACTCTGAAATAAAATTTCGTCTCATTTTCTTGTACTAATACGTAAAATGCTCGAATTTTACATAATGAAACGTCACCTTCCTATATCATAGAAATCATATTATATATTGTCACGATAGGAACAATAGTATATTACACACCGAGGTGGGAAGTGATTCATTCCTGTCGTGAGATTAGTTAGTTAACTGAGACGCAAAGCGTCGAGGTTAGCTATAATTCCGAGAAAACAATGAAACTTCCTACCGAGGTTTGTGTACTATTTTATTTACAACCATCATATTTCGATCAAAATTAATAAATCTGTGTTTCGTTCTGAACATACCTGAATTATCACATGAGTGAGGACGGGAAGTGAGGGCGGGAAGTAGGGGTGTGTAATGTGACCCTTCCCAACCTTCAATGGCGTTAGTAATGACAACATTACATATATGGTTGTAAATAAAACATATTTCATCATAGCTACTATATTCTAAATTATATTGATTCAAGAAAAAATTTCATTATTAAAGTTAATTATTTCATCGTATAACATTCAATAAAAAGAAACGCGTATAATTTTTTACTCACCTTGGCAGCTCAGTCAACCGGATATAAATGAATGAATAAATGAATATAAGGCAGGGAACAGTTTGGATCTGATCAGCCAGCACTCACTATCCATGGTTCATCCTCTGCGTCTTCTACCATAATGTCACGACCCATGGCTACAAGGTGGTGACTCGGGGGTGAACTCGCTTGGGAGGCCGAGAAATAAAAACAGTTGTTCGTTATACAGGTACAAGTTATTGAAAAAAATTGTTTCATTAGTGGTTCAGACAAACGGGGCTCAAAACAAACGTACATCAGATTTCGCAATACAGAGCATCATTTCATAACTTGGTACCATGAAGATAGATACGTAATTACTTATAAAATTATCTTTAGAAGACGCAGGGGATGAACCATAGTGAGTGCTGGCTGATCAGGTCCAAACTGTTCTACTGTTTTACTCCATATGCGAGTATTTCATTCCGGTTGACTGAGCTGCCAACGTGGGTGAAACATTATACGCGTTTCCTTTAATCTAATTTTATACGTTGAAATGGATAATGAACTTTTTCTGCAACCGACACAAAAGTCGTTCATTTTGATACCAAAATCAGCTCTTGAATTAACGTTTCTATTAGTGACACAAAAACAGGTATGTTGCTAGGCAACACATTCAGTTCCTAGGAGCTAAAGTTGAACTTTAGTTCCTAGGAGCTGAAGTTGAACTCTAGCTGCTAGGAACTAAAAAGGATCTACTGAATGTCATCAAGAATAAACAACATTGTGACAGTTGATTATTTGGGTTGAGACGCATACCTGATTTGTTTCTGATTTCAGCAGATTTGGCATTTCATACCCATGCTGGAGTTATAAATACACCTTATTATAATTTAGTATCGGAATTATAAACATCTCAGTTGAGTATTTTTGTTTTGATCAGGAAAGCCTTCAAGATTCAAATACTTTGCTTGATCTGTATTTCATTCGTTATTGTCGGGATGGATAACTTGTTTTTGAATAATCACGGCAAGCAATAGATTTTTTGTCTCAAACAAAGATATTGTTTAGCTTCATTTGATTATCAAGTCAAACACAGTGTAGAATGGAGAGGAATAAATAATCACTATTATCATTGTTGGTATGCTCACTAACCTAACATTTTCCACTTCTTGTTCCTATAGCTGGCACTGGCGCGGTATTTGCCATTCGAGCACCTGGTCCATACACAAATATGTCACTCTGTGGTTGTATTTATATTGAAACTACAATTCGAACATCCTAGAAAACTTAACCTGCTGTTAATGCAGGTAGAATATTCTCACCACATGGATTATTTGTCAATATTTGTTGCATTGCATTGCATACATATGGCACGGCATTGGTGGTTACTTCACATGTTTATTTGAGTTAATTGTTTCGGTTGCAGAAAAAATAGCATGTTTCATTCGGATCAAAAGTGACTTTGTTTGACTCGTAAATTTTGCTTTCGCTCGGCTTCGCTAAACGCTCCGCCTCGCAAATGCAAAATTCGCTTGTCAAACAAAGTGTCACTTTTGATCCTAATAAAACAATCTACTATTATTAATGAAATCTTCCCTTGAATCAATATAATTTCGATTATAGTAGCTATGATAAAATATGTTTTGTTCCTATCGTGACAATATACTGACACTATGATTTCTATGTCTTATATTCGATTCTTCAATCAACTGCAGCTTCCATGGCGACCTCCCAAACAACGCCGCCGCTAGTTTATAAAAGGGGAACGGCTCTTGGCCGCCTCTATTACAGGCAAGTGGTGCGATACGAGCATGTTTGGCACCGGAGGCGGCAAGAAGCAGAGGCCCGCGGGCGGCACGGGCTACCTGGTGAGGCCTCGCTTGGGGGCCCTCAAATCGGTCTATTCCAGTAGGCCGTTTGCTGCCCATTCGCCGGACAAAAGGAAGAAGATCAGGTGAGATAGGTGTGATGTAACAGTGTCACAATTTCGATAAGTTCTGGGAAATTTCCTTGTTATGTTTCCAGAAATATAGTTGTGGATTTCACAATGTTGCAGTACTTGAGGAAATTTGAATCAAACATACATAGTGTTGTCAAATTTCAGAAAATATATGTTTTGCTTTATTTTCTGAAAATGAATGTTTCTAGAAATAAAGTAGGTATAGCAATGTATACTAAGTGGGAAGTTATACAGTGTTTCTCACTTTGAGCATCAGCATCATTATTATATTTTCCTGTGTTGGACAATTTTAAATTTTTTTCAGCAACATGTAGAAATCAATACTTCAATACAGTTCTCAATTCTTCCAGTGCAATATCACACGGCCAACTATGATCGCGTAATAGTGCATGAAATCAGTGATATCAGGCATTTCTTTATCGAAAAATTCATATCATCATTATGTTGCGTTTGTGAAACACGTATACCGGGTGTCAACGAATCTATTAGACAAGTCATAACTTCTAGACCATTAGGTGTTTCAAAATGAGATTTGGTATAGGTAAATGGTATGTGAAGAGGAGAGTTTTCACATATTTTTCACTTTCCGGTCACTTTCGGTGTCACCGGAAATGGCTCCGCTTCTAAATCTTTAAATGGAACACCCTGTATATTGTAACATTTTTGGATTTCTGAGACAATTCTAGATCAGATCATTTTCGAAAGTTTTTATGGCTACTTAATTTTTTCGGGGTCACTTTTGAAATTACATCTAGGTGGCCATGATTTGAAGTAAACTAATCTAAGGACCTCAGGTGATATCAGAAAATTACAATCGAGAAGTTTTAGTGACAAGTATGATAGATATGAATAAGACAAGTTGGCAAAATTACATTTTCGTGTCTAACAATTATTTTTAAAATGGCGACCATTTTTTGACAAGCACTTTCCGAAAAAAGGATATTTTGAAGAATCTAAAGATACTAATTTATTTGCGATTGGATCAAAAAATTTAACAAAATTAACAAGAAGCCTTGATTGAAATAACTGTAAAATATTATGCATAATGCCTATCCTCGGCACACTTGACAAAAGTAAATAAATTATTATGAAGTATCTTCGTCAGTACTATTCAATTCATGGTCTTATTTGTAAGTGACCGGAAAGTGAAAAATATGTGAAAACTCTCCTCTTCAAATACCATTTACCTATACCAAATCCCATTTTGATACACCTAATGGTCTAGAAGTTATGACTTGTCTAATAGATTCGTTGACACCCGGTATATGTTTCAATGTGCTGATATCATGACAGGTACACAAGATATGGGAAATTCTAGAGTAGAGAATAGGTATTAAAAGTAATATTTATGGAAATGAAATGAGTACGCTAATGTATTCTAATTCGAGAGTTATACAGGGTGTTGCGGAATTCCACCGACAACGCTTGACAGGTGATAGCCCTCGTGATTTCATAATCACTGAGATAGGGATATACGGTTTTCAAGTGTTCAGTTCTCGAGATACAGGGCGTTTAAGTTAAGAAATAAAAATAGTTGTTTCGCAATATCTCAAGAAAAATTTAATATAATGCATTCAACTTCGGTATATGGTTTCATCTTTGAATGGGTCATTTTTTGACCAGGAAGCCATTCCGGACATTTTATCCAGTGGTGCCCTAAAGGGAGGCGTGGCAACTTTTCCTCTCATATTTTCTACGCCACTGATTAAATTCCAATTATTTCCAATTCCTCGAATTCATTCTTCAATTTCATTCAAAAAATGCATCACCTTCAACTGAAGAAGATGAAAAATTACTATGCAAACTTTTATTTTGGGTCAAATATCTCGATAACTGTTTATTTTAGCTCAGTTGAAGATGATCGATGCAGTTTTTCAACATAATTGAACAATCAATTCGAGAAATTGGAAATAATCGAAATTTCATCAGTGGCTTAGAAAATATGGGAGGAAAAGTTATCACAACCCTCTGTAGCGCACCTCTGGGTACAATTCTTGGAATGTCTTTCTGGTCAAAAAATTAACTACTTTAGATTCCCAAGGAAAAGTTCCGCCAGACATTCCACCCGTTGAGAGTCGAATGCCCGAAATCGTCTTCCGTCAACGCACTATACGACGAATTTTGCTTGGTCTCAAAACGAATAAGGCTAACGGTCCTGATGGAATTCCACCCATTATCCTCAAAAAATGTGCACCAGAATTAAAACCGATTCTCTGCAAGTTGTTCACCATCTCGTACAGGTCGGGTATTTTTCCATCATGCTGGAAGACAGCTAGAGTCCAACCAATCCCCAAAAGAGGGAACAAGAACCTCCCAACAACTACAGGGCCATTGCCCTGTTATCAGTCATCTCCAAAGTGATGGAGAAAACCATCAATATTGAGCTCATCAAATATCTGGAGAGCTCAGGAATCATCAATGATAGAAAATACGGCTTTCGCCACCGAAGATCTACTGGAGATCTACTTGCCTACGTCACCCATTTATGGCAAGCTTCATTAGAAAAACACGGGGAATCTCTAGCTGTCGCGTTGGACGTATCGAAAGCATTCGACCGTGTTTGGCCGTTACCACCGATAAAACAAAGCCTGCATGCTCCGTGGGTGACGTCACTTAGTCAGGCCTAACCAGCGGCTCGAAACGACAAGCGCTTATAGCGCTATAAGGCGACCGCGTATTTCGATTTTAGTTTTAGATCATTATTGAGCCGATTTTGCTTTTTTTCTCTCAACTGAGCCCTTCTTCGCATCCCATTCGATTTTATTATGGAAAAACGAAGTTTCAAAGCAAAAACCAGGATAAAACACAAATATCCACCTACAGCAACCCATTCGAATTAAATATATTGGCAAAAATTGTGGTGAAGGTAAACTTCACACCTACTTATACAGGGCCCGCAGAACATAAACTTATCGTGAGATTGATCTATTTATGACTCTCTTTATTAAAGAAAAAATCATGAGGTGATCTATTTTTGATGTTGGACTTATATGAACAACTTCTTTCACATTTGACATAACGCTTGCTATCATGAAGACAAATGCGGAATTTGCTAAACATGAATTATTAAATGCCGTTCCTACAATATTGCCTGCCTTGTAATCTAAATATGGCTTTATATGAACTTCATCCATCATTAAAATGACATATTTTTCACGCTCACCTAATAACTTAAATACATTTTCTGCATGAGATAACGACATTTGTCTTTCTTCGAATGTAGGATCTGTTAACAACGAACTACATATCGATTTGACTGTACCGGAATGAGGTAATATGAGTACTCCAAAATGTCTTAAAAATTTATAAGCATGTGAACTTATTGTATGAATTATAGAGGCTAAAATTATAGTATTATTCGAATAACGATATCGTTCTTTGCAGGATGTATGTAATTTAATTTGCTCAGAGAGGAACAATAAAGCTGAAGTGTTTTCGGAATCTTCATCAAGATCTGAAACCGAGTCAGAAACCAAAGAGTCCAATGCATTCGAAATATGTTTCAAAACCCTCTTCTTCTGATTATCAAGACATTTTCCCGAATTATGTATCTATCTATTTCAATTAGTAATTCCTTGATTTGAATGATATTATTAGAGATAAAAGGTGTTTTCAGATTGGCTTTTAGAGATGTTTGTATCGCTAGGTCATACAAAAATGATTCCACATTCAAAACAAAATCAATCACAACCGAATATGTAATTGCGGGCCCTGGAGAATAATACAATTTGAATGATGTGACTTTTTGCAAATCGATAATTATTATGAACCACTTTTCGGGCAACTGAAAAGACTCTGATACAACTAGAAATTCTTGATATTCTGTGTATCAAAATGATTTTTGGTAATTTTCGAATTCAGTTTTACTTTTGGTAAGTGCTTGTGCCAAATTTTCAGTCTCTAGTATCTTAAGTTTTTCATCACGACTTGTGCGTAATTTTACATCTTTCGATAAATAAGATGGACAGTTGGGAAATTGAGTGGGAATAACATCTCGTTTGAGCCTAGGAATTTTCAAATCTATTGTTACAGTTTTGCCAGTTTTTGAATCGGTTGCAGTAGATGAAGAAATAATATCATCTTTAGTAAAATGTAATTCACATAATTTACTGTACTTAGATGGAGTCGTAAAATCCTTGCGGTGAATTGCATGTACCCACTTTTTCGATAGTTCCTTGTCCAACGGGAAACTAAAAGCATGAACTTTTGCACCACCCACATAATTCCCCCGACAAAAGCGAACACAACACTTGTAAGGCATTGTTATTTCGCCTATCACAACACGAAATATTTCACAAAACAGTAATTTCTCCGCCAATTATTTTGATGAATAAACAACAAGAGAATTCGAGCACACGTGATTTACCTACGCCACCGTTCTTAAACAGAAAAAAAAATGACGATCGATCGCCGCGAATGCCTTGGAAGATGGCCTGAGTATGCGACGTCACGAGCTGTTTACGTCAGAGTCTGCTGGCCTTGTTTTATCGGTGGTAACGGTTTGGCACGAAGGACTCCTCCACAAACTACCATCAAACGGCTTACCACCTCAGCTATGCCATCTCTTATCGAGTTTTCTTTCAGGCAGATCGCTTCACGTGGTGGTGGACGGTGTATCGTCTGATACCATTGGCATCAATTCCGGCGTTCCACAAGGATCAATTTTGGCACCAACATTATTCCTGCTTTATATCAATGATCTATTGGGAGTAACAACTTGCCCCATCCACAGCTTTGCAGATGATAGTACCCTCCATATTGCGTTCTCTTCCAGAATTTCCATTTCTTCCTAGGAAACTAAGAACTCACGGCGCAAGCAGGTCAATGCTGTCAATGGAGATCTTGCTGAAATCACAGCCTGGGTAACCAACAACCTAGTTGAATTCAACGCCTACAAAACTCAACCCTGCATTTTCTCTAGAAAGGCGGAACTCAGTATGCCCGATATTGTAATGTCTGGCTCCACCATCCCCGCCAAGCCCACCATATCTATG